GGACTTAACCGACAAAGTAGTCTGGTATGTCCGCAGTGACAATGACCCACTCTTCCGCTCAAAGAAGTGGGAAAATACACTCCAAGAGCTCAGCGTTTTCTGGACCCACTCGGTACCATACACACCACAAGAGAATGGTGTCTGCGAGCGTTTTATGAATACGCTGGGTCCCGGTCTAAGGGCTATTTTAGTAGGCGTTGACCTCCGCTTATGGGACTATGCTGCGGAGTATTTTGCGTGGACATGGGTTAGAATCCCTAGAAAAGCCTACAAACGTGCGCCACACTTCAATGGGAAGTCCCCCCATGAAGCTAGACGCTTAAGAATGAAAGGGTCACTGCAAGTTGACCGGAAAGTTTCCCGCTTAGAGTCCACAGAGCCCGATGAGCTCGATAACGCGACTACTGAATTCGATTCGAAGTTCAGGAGATTTGGCTGCTTATGCTATTTTCTCAAGCAACCCGTCGAAGCGGTTGGGAAACTTGTAGAGAAGTATATCAAGGGCGTATTCCTCGGCTATAATGATCTGAGCAGCTGTTACCTTGTAGGTACTTATGTCTCAGATGGTCGCTTCACCAAGAAAGACGGTGGACTAAGATGGGCTGTCTATGAGACTCGCTGCGTTAAGTTCGTCGAGAGTATACTCATCGATAATGTAGATTCTCTACGCCCAGGGTATTCCGAGGGTGTGATCGTTAACGATCGCCAGATCCTAGATGTATTTAGTGGCTCGATGGACAGCGGCTCGGTGGTCGGGGCCGGCCAGCCTTGTGCTCCGACGTTGCCTGCGCCTGGTGGTTCTAGTTCATCTGGTTCTGGGGGGGGCGTGTCCGCCTCCTCCCCGTCCGTCGCGCCTGGTGCAGATAAGAAAGTGGAACTATTGGACGTCCCAAGTCCAGTCTGTGACAAGGCCAGCACGGCATGTGTTCCCGGTGAGGAAAACAAAAGTGCATCTGCGAGCATTCCTATGCTTGCGGGTGATAAACAGCCCGGGGGGGGTGAAAAACAAAAAGCCAATGATCCTCCAGAGGAAGAGCAAAGTTACAAATTTGAAAGAAAGCCAGACGTCACTTATGGACAGGCCAAAAGAAAACGAGGCCGACCTAAAGGGTCTAAAGACAAAGTCCCAGGTGGCAGAAAAAGAAGAACGATGAAGCAGATGGCAGAGCAGGTAGACTCTGACGAATTCTATGGCGAGTTCGCTGAAGTGATCGAAGACTGCTTCTATGTCGAAAGTATGGAGGATGACCTAGAGCCTGGGGAAATAATAGAGGACGTATGGGTGCAGTTATCAGTGTCAGAGGCTGTAAAGGGACCTGAATCCCCACACTGGATTCAGGCCATAGGTAAAGAAAGAACTAAGTTAGAAGCGTTCGAAACATGGCGGAAATGCAATGAGCAAGAACTCAAATCGGCAAAGGGTGTAGTCCCAATTGCCTTAGTGCTTTCAAAGAAGCGCGATGGCTCATACAAGTGCAGGGCTGTTGTCTTAGGCAACCTATACAAGCCAGGGCATGACTTTGATGTCTATGCGTCTGTTGTTAGTTTTGGCGCGAGCAGGTATCTTTTAGTTGATGCTGCTGCTGCAGGAGATGAGATCGAGGTCTTTGACATTGATAATGCATTTGTGCAAAGTCTCATCGACTCCGACATCTTTGTGCGTCTGCCTCCAATCTGGCGTGAGGAAAATGATACCGGCATAAGAAAGCTAGTCCGTGCTTTATATGGTCTGCCGCAATCCCCTAGGCTTTGGGCCAAGCACTACGAAAAACAGCTTATTCTGCTGGGTTGGACTCAATCTGATGAGAAAGGACTATGGCGCAAGCCGTCCGCAGTAGTGCCGGGTAGATTCCTCAAATTAGCCGTGTACGTTGATGACAACACAGCCTGTGGCCCTGATCGTAATGAGCTTCGTGCTGAGGTGCAGACTATACTCAATATATTTCCGGGTCGTCGTTTCTCTGTCTGTATGAAGAGATCGACTTTGAAGCGTGTGCCTAAAGCCTTAAGCCTTATCCCTTGAGAACCCCCGAGCGTTAAAAGGCCTTGTCACTTGAAGTGGCTTACGTGTTCTACTGGTCTTTGTCCGCAGTGATCCTACATTTGCTTGTGGGTGATTTTGGACTTTATGAAAACGGCTTCGCTCTTGGGGGGGGGAGAAACATAGTCGACCCACCACTACAGTCAAGAAGGCAGGCATATGGGCCCTGAAACAGTGACTGACACCAAAGCGAACCAAACAAGACCAAAGGGGGGAATGTCGGAGACAGCTCGAAGTGACCAAAGTGTAAGGTCTTGAAGGTGTTCCACTTCCCGACTTGGCGGCTTGATGTGAATCAATCGGTGCACTTGAACACAACAAGGAAGAGCCAAAGAGCTCAAAGGTCAATCAACCTTGCTTATCATCTTGATGGTCCTGGATCCTTTAGGTAGGAGTAGTTTAACGTGAGTGCAGTTCGTGAGAGAGCATCAGCGTGACTGTGCTCGATTGAGTTGGATTCTAGTGGTGTTCAAACAAGAACTTCCTCCTTCGTTGTGGTTTGCCGTTCCTTGCTTGTCTTCCTCCGGCGGTACGACTTGGGCAAGAACTTCTACTGACCTTTCTACGGTTTGGCGAACCTTTTGGGCAGTTAGCAACCTACAGGAGAACAACAACATCCAACAATAACGATAACGATGCTGCTCGTCCCTTAATATCATTTTTATTCAGAGTGTTTCGTCGATTTGGATGTTGGATTTTGCCCTCCACTGCAAGCTGCACTAGCCGCGCAACATTTGCTGCGAGCAAAAGCATGGAGAGAACAGGTTTTTCGAGTGATTTTCGTGTTATCTCTGGTGGCGTGCGACGGTCCATCTTTGTTTCAAATCGTTTCTTGGAGAAGAGATGAAAGCAAATTCCAGCCTGAGACCGATTGGCCCACGCTGCACGTCGACCTGCAGTTTCCCTCGAAATCCATCGCCGCGAATTTGGTAAACAAGGTCCTTTGTCATCTCTAATGTAATCGAAATCTCTAGAAAAATTCGACGAGAAACCTGAAGATAAGTCCTGTCCAGGTCCTCTTGGTTCTCGACCACGATGTACTTGTTGCTGCACTAGATGAGCACGCTCCTCTCGTCCACAATCGATCACATATTCGACATCAGGCACAAAAACCTGTTGTGCTTCAGCCGACACACCAGCTGCTAGCACGACTTTGCGTACATTCGGAACTAGTACGCGTGCACGGATCGCTTCTATTTCGACTGCAGAAGAATACTCCGTCAGTTGATGTATGCGGAATCTGGTCTCTGCTGTTGAAGAGGAAGTGATGGCATTCGTGATACTGCCCGTTCTCTCGCTATTTGCTGTTCCCCTTCCGCCATCACGATGATCAAGAGGGAGATCGCTGCGCAAAACGGCAGCACACTTTTCTGCATCCAACCAGGATGGTAGAAACACCATAATCGTGCCCATTGGTTTCTCCACTGCCGCATTAGAGGACTCAACCGAGGACTGTCCTTGTCCTCCTGAGTCAGACGTGGCTGTCGCAGCTTCGCCAGCTGCTCCTGTGCCTGTCGCCGTCGATGCGTTTTTCGCAGCGTCAGCTGCTGCTCTTTGCATCTCCAAAACTTTCCGGTAGTTGCGATCGGTCCAGATCAACAAAGCTGCTATCAGTGGAAAGTCAAAATCCATTGCCAATTCCTGCAATCTGTCCATTTTTTGGACGCCATCAGCCAACAAGTCCATGCCCTTCAGTTGATGCGCAAAAGCCTGTCCTGGGGGAGGCGTATTTTAGAGCTCACCCTTATCGTCCATCCTGAGATGCATTTTGGTAAATCTCCCTCCTTAAGGAACAGCTTGTTTTCCAAGATGTACTATGTGAAGATGGACCATTAGGGGAAGCCTTAATTGTTACCGGAAGGTTGTTGTCCCACAGACGACGTCCCTTGCTTGAAAAAGCGGTCGTCGAAAACAACCCTGCGTATGTGGTCGCCGCAGCCCCACATGCCGTCGGCTGCACCACCCCAGGGGCCAGGGTCTTCTTAGAGCTCAGGCTTGCCTTGATCCACCATGATCTTCTGAAGCGTTGCATCCTGAGTAGACCTTTTGCTTCTCCTTCAAAAAAACCTCTCCAAGATCGATGCTTCTGAAGATAGACCTTTTCCTCCTGGAAAACGTCTCTCCTAGGTAGAAGAAAGAATGCCTTCTCTAAAAAGATGGACGACCAAGACCATTAGAGTAACAAGCGCAAGCCTTAATCTCGATATGCCGTCAGAACGCGCCTTCTCCACTCGTCTGTCTCGATTTGCAATGTTTTCTCGATGCCAGCGGATAATATGCCTGGGCCAAGTCGTTTTCGCAAAGGAGCAACTTTCCACAAGGTTGACACGATGTCCTCCATATACAAGCGCGTCGGAGCGAAGCACGAATTCGCTGGCACTGGAATTTCAATACTGCTGAAAGTAATCGGTGGTATTATTGTTGATCGCGGATCACAGTTGTTGAAACTATCTGAACTTGCATTTTCGCCGTCTAAGCCCTTCAATGTGTTCCGATAGACGTGGACCAGCAATCCCGCACTCCCTCTCGCGCCACCCCGTAGCTGCTGCGTTTCGTAGAGCAGACTACGCGTGAAAAATCGTTGCCACTGGTTCTCAGAGTCAGACTCTCCACTATTCACATTCTTAGCCTCGTCAGAAGTCGTCCGGTAGTTGTATCTCGACGAAATAAGTACTACCCTCAGATCAGGTCGATGCGGCAACAACTCCCGGAGCAGGGTCAAAAGGAGATCTGTTTCACCATCGCCCTCGTCTACTTCATCGAGAAGCAGATGCGTGTAGCCGCTTTTTTGCAGCGTCGGGTCATTCGCTACGATCTTCCACAACAACTCTGTCGTGCAAAAAGTCAACCACGTCGGAGGGCGTTCTGCTTGGTCGCACTTGTCTTCGACGTCCACGTCAACACCAATTGAAGCATTAGTACAGCGACGTCCTCTTCTACAAAGATGAAAGACATCACCCAGAGTCTCGACGAACCTTACAACCACATGATTATCACTTGAGCCAGGTCCTCTTGGTCCATCATCTTCATCCTTTGACGAGGACCCTCTTACACCTCGCTCAGCAGTAACCCGTCTCGCAAGGTTGCGTGCGGTCGATGCCGTCCGGGTTGCTAATACTGCTCGCACGTAGTCGGGATTCGCATCTACTAACAGTTGGCCAATTTGCGTAGATTTTCCAGTCCCTGGCAATCCTGCGTATGAAGAAAAGCTACAACAATAGACTTGTTTCTAGAAAGAGGTGGAATCATAGTGAGGAGACATCGAGGATTAATCAGATTTATTGAGCAAATTCTCAGATGGAAATAGTTGTAATAGCGCTGGTTACTAGCGAGTAGCGACTGGATTACTAGCGACTTACTAGCGACTGGATAGTTGTAAAAATAGCGCTGGTTACTAGATTCTTACTCATCATTGATCACGAGTGCACGAGCACGAGACGCTTAGATGAAATCATAATCTCACAAAGGTGACTTGGTTCTCCTGTATCGACTCCAGCAGAGCTTTCCGATATGCCCATATCGGCTGGTCAACTCTCTCGTGGCACAACTCATGCTCCATACACGCTTCTGTTGCTGCGTCTACATCGAGCGGCAAATGCAGTAACTGCTCATCCCGCTCTGAGTAGCCGAGAACCGTCCGCAAGTCAGGGTATACACCTTGGTGTTGGCCACGACCTAATACAACTTGGTGTTCTGCTTGATCTGCTTGAGAAGCATTGTAAAAACGTTCAATCTGCTGTCCGAGAGCTGCGACTTCCTCTAGAAGCGTCTGTTGCTGTGGACTAAAAACGATGCGGGCCTCGCATTCCGAGCCGATTGACTCTTCTTAGACGAGGTATATGGTGCTTGTAAAGAACCTTGATAAATGAAACATCACTGCATGGCACAAGAAGTCGCGCACTACATGACGAGTCACCTAAAAATTCTAGTCAAGAGGGAGTTACTTGCCGTCTCCGGCCACCAATCGACGAAGTCAGCTGCGCTACCACTGCTAACGAACTCGGTTGTTGTATTGTTTTGGTAGCCTGATTTTGATCATGAAGAGAATCCCCCTGATCAAATTCAGGTTACCAAATACCGAAACCATTCAGTTGTGTGAGGTAAAAGGGTCATAAGTTATAACCCCCTGAGGGTCTACTTTCTGCTTCTTGGACGCAGCTCTTCTGGCGTAGTATCCCTTCGGCTCTCGGACAAAGACACGCACGACGCGCCTCAAGGCGTCGCCAGTGGGCAATGCAAAAAGGCCGTAAGATTCCGCTATTTTGACTAGGTGTTTGCTCTCCCCATTCGGCGCAGGAAAGACGTAAGAGACATCAGGATCCGTCTTCCCTTTTTCGATGAGCTCCATCAGTTTCCGCTCTGCGTGGGTCCGATATTCCTGCGTCGTCATTTTCTACAAACTTTATCTTGATGAACCAACGAGAACGAACCGTGATGAAAAGTTATTAGTACCATTTGAGAGTTCATTCATCACCGAAGTAAATGGTGGTTGAAGGGAAAAAGAAATGCGCTAAAAACAAAGACGAGATGCGCTACGATCTTGCTTCACTAAAAAACCACTCCCTACTTCCACGTCCTGACAAATTGATTGAAACTTCAATCTTCATCCATAGTCGGCATTTCTCTCTTTATTGGAATGGCAACGAGTACTCTGTTTCAACGATTTTTTCGGACACTTGTCGTATAATTAGTTTCAATACTTTCCCACTGATGCGGCGAAAGAAACTTTTTCAACCGATCAACGCATCTGAGAATTGGACACTATGAATGCTCAAGTTTGGACACCATGAATGCATGAGTCTGCATGTCTGCATTGACATAATCTCCTGCCTTGACAGCAAGCGGCAGCATTGCTTGGTAGATTACATTGGATTACACTGTTCTTTTTGCACATTCATTCATTCAGCTGTAGAGAGGTTCCGCCAAGTCGGTGTTCTTCTTCAAATGTGATACGAGGATAATTGAAGATAATTGTAGTACCTTTTGATGGCAATGGCATGCTATAATCTTCATCACCTGCTAGCATTACCACAACATGATCAAGGACCATTCGTACCATAAACAAGACGTGATAGTTTAGACCAATAGCACAGCGTTGATGCAGCCGTCATTTTCTGGATTGTTAGTCACCTGCGCATATTTGGCCCAGACTACCTTACCTGTCTGGGTGACGAGTCCCAACTCTGAGACGTTCACCTCAAGCACTGAACCCTTGGTGATCACGCCTAAGCTGGTGTAGAGCGCGCTCTGCGGGTTTTTCTTGACACCTACGATGTCCAAATGAAAGGTCGTCTTCAACTCAGGATGCGTTACGTGCGCCTTCTTAAATCGCAATGATGATGGCCGGATAAACCTGAGAGTTTAGGCTTCAGTTAATATTAAGGACTTTCACATTCAATAACACACAGATATTTATTATAATGAGAAGCAAAAAATAGGTCTTTCACATTCAATAACACACAGATATTTATTAGAACAAGAAGCACTGATAGTATGCGGTTGATGTTCACAGTATCTTTTTTAGCAGGCACGAAAAGGTCGTGAAACTGCAACTCTTTTTAGTACCATCTATTATCTACTATCTACTTGTATTAAGATTCAGAGCAAGCTAGCATTAGTCGTAAAAATAGTTACCTCTCAAATTTCGGGTTTTTTCGTGTAAAGTTGTCGCCGACGAAGCACACCTTGTTCACAACGCGCTTCCATGCTTTCTTCTTCCGCTTGCCGGTTCTCATAATCTTGAACATTTCATCCTCTGTCATCGCTTTCACCTAGTAGTTTGTCATAAATGGTCATCGCTTTCACCTAAATGGTTTAGTCAGGAGTGTGTATACTAGTATTTGTCAACAACATCATGAAAAATTGAGTTGCTCTAGTTGCAGACTGCTCTACTAAATAGGAGTTATCGGTTTAGTCGGGAGTGTGTATAGTAGCGGCCGAATGTTGTTATCGGTTTAGTCGGGAGTGGTACCTTCGGCACGGGCACTTGCCATTTTCCTGCTTTCTCCTTTCGCTTCTGCTTGATCATGTTGCTCAACACCTTCGTTCTCGCTTGTTGTTCTCTGTCCAGCAAATACGATGGCAACGCTCCCTTCGGCACGTTTTCGTCGTCTGGTTTCTTCTTCGCATCTTTCTCTTCGTGTGCTTTCAGGGTTTTTTTCATTTCAGCCTTCTCCGTGTATCGCTTCTTGTGAAAGATCTTGGCCTTGATACCAGTCAGCTTCTTGGCCAACTTCGAGTTCTTCTTCACCTCCCTGGCCTTCTTCTTTCGCGTTCTCTCCTCATGGTCGAGCCGCTTACCGAAGCGGCGGGTGTGCTCTTCAATATGCTCATTCTGCGGCATTTTTGCTTCTCGTTGGTTTCTATCAAAAAAATGAAACCCAATAAAAAGGAGTGAAGAAAAACCTCTTGTTCATAAAAAAAAATCACTTCGTTATTCAGTCATGCAAATTGCAATGTCGACGTCTAAGATCTTTGAGCCAGAGTCATAAGCTGCTTATCCATAACAGTACTTATACATAGTAAAACTGACTCTCCACCTCCTCCTCAGTGTGAATACTTACGTATTATACTGAGAAATCCGCCGCCTGTGGAAAAGGGATTCGTTGTAGTAAGATGGTCTAAATAAGTTTGCTGACTTCATTATGATAGAAAGATGATGTCATCCTCTTCATCCGGAGCAACTAAATTTCTGAGCTGTTTCTTTTCTCCTGAGCATGCCATTCGCATTCTAGGTATAAAAATAGCCTGAATCATTACTCTCCACAACACGGTGTTTGCATCTGTGAACATTGAGCTTCTCTAGGTGTCAGATCCGTCCATGATTGCAACTCTCTTAGAGATCGTATCGGTTTTGTCAAGATGATGATCTCTTACTTCGTGTTGGTTGTAATGTGTGTGATCTGTGTTCATTGTAGTAGAAGACCGATGCATGTAGTTGTTTCTCCAAGCAGAACGAGAACATCAAAACACAAAATTTCACAAGTAGAACAAAATCTAGATCCTTGACAACAACACACATTGAAAGATTTGATTGCTTGGGATCTCGTTTCTTCTTGCGAAAAATAGGGAAGGATTCGGAGGGGTAATAAACAATCTAAATTTCTCTAGTCATCAATGTCACAATCCTGCTCATCATCATCATCACTACCATCTTCTCGAGCTCCTGGTACTGCTGTGCTAGCACGACTCAGTGTATCCTCCTGTGGCTCAAGATTGGGTAGTTGAATCTCCTCGTCAGGTTGGCTCATCATCAAACCAAGCAGCACCGAGAGCTCCCTCTGAACCATCGAAAGCAAATTCGAAGCCCTCGCGCCTGTAGCATTCGACGTAGGAGCATTTGACGTAGAAGCAGTCGTAGGCGATGATGGACTTGCATTTGGACTCTGGTGAAGACCGCTAGGATTGACGCTTGCAACAGGGCCGTTGCTGTTGGTTATTCCTGCGGCTTCTCCACTAGTATTTGTATTTGCTTCTTGATCTTGCCGTCCTCCGCCTGTAGTTGCTGTTTGATCATCTGGCGCGACCAGCGTCAGCAAGGCCTCCAGTGCGTCCGCTGCTTGCCGGCTGGCCTCAACCTCTTGCATAGCGGCATCGCGGAGGCGTTTCGCAGCCTCCAGTTCCTCCTGCAAGGCTTCAATCTCGGCACGTCTTCGTGCCATTTCGCTCTCCCGCTCTTCTAAACGAGATAATAAGTCTCCTGCCGTGGCTTCGAGACCGGCAATTCGCAAAGCCCGCGCAGCTGCTCGGTCTTGTTCAAACTGATCTTGCTGCTCCTGCCGGGAAATTAAGGTGGTGGGTAGAGCGCCTCGAGCAGGTGGCAAGCTCGACATACTAGATCCTCCTGCGCTTTCCTGGTCCGGCCGACTGCCCGTTGTCCTCCTAGCATTAGACGAAGGTCGTGATGTCCGCCACCACTCGGCTCCACCGACTCCTGTTCGTGACTCGGTTCCTTGCATCGAAAATGGCGCCCTTGACTGTGCAGTTGCCGAAGAGACGAGTAGTGCACTTCTATTTGCTGATGCTCCTTGCCTTGACATTTGTGCGTGTCTTTGTGCAGCTTCAGTGGAGCTCCGCTCCGATGATGACGGAAGCGTTCTATGACCGACATCGCCTACGACCATCGAGGCCAAGGGCGATCTGCGTCCGCCAACTACTGAAGTTCCAGTCGACGTGTTGCTACGAGACGACCTCAACACGAGTGAAGATGACGAAAATTCGCTGTTGCCGACATTCCTCACCTGCCGCGCGTCAGTTCTTCGACCGCCACCGCTGTTTGTAATACTACTCGTAGAAGTAGCATTACTGATGCCCAAAATCTGACCCACACTATCCAGTCCTCTACTCGGCTGAGAAGACGAGGTCTTCTCAGGTCCACCTATAATATTACGACGAATAGAGGTGGCAGCGCGTGCTGAAACTATCGCTAGCCCTGGTCGCCCATTCCCTGTCCTCCGCAGCACAGAAGCGGAGGACAAAGTGCTGGCACGCGGTACAGGACGACTGTCTGCACGTGCACCAGGAACCGCACGGTCTGTAGCGAGATTTCCTCGTCTCGCCATTTCTCAATAGCTTTCTTGATTTAAGGAACAAGCTACTGTGAAATAAACAATTTCATCCACGACACGGCTCGATCGTCCGGTAAAAATGACTACTTACATCAAGGCATGAAAAACTGTTCTGGTAGACAAGCGAATTCAGAATCAAGTACTTGTTGAGAAACCATACTAAGCTTCATCTACCCGTCAGCGTCATACGCGAACAATCTTGGGAATTGGCTGCGATAAAAACGGGACGAAAGGAAGGAGGCGTATTAAACCAACCGAAGCACGCCACTACCGAAGGTCATCATGATGCGCAAAAGTACGTCCTGCGCCTTTTCTTCGTCAATGGGGCTTCTAAATACACAATGACAGAGACAATTCTTACCGAAACCGAAGACGGAGATTGTGACCGAAACTTTTTCGTGACAGACGAAAAATGCACAACTTCGGTATTGACTCGAGATCTCAGGTCAATCACTGATGGTAAAAGGTTCTCACCATCGGTCCGTCGAAATTCGAACACCATACGACCTAAGTCTATCGCATGACGGTCTCGGGCAACAAAGGCGCCTGCTCTTCGGATTAATTAATACTTCTCACTGAAGGCTCTCGCCTCAACACAGTTGAAAGATCATGGATCGCTTTGATTTTGTTGAGAAAAGATATCGAAGAAAAAGGATATCGACGGCTTCGAAAACAGTTCTCGTAGAAGTAAAGAGTTCACTTCTTCACTTTTCTCCAAATAGACATTGTAATCAAATCCCTGTTCAGCTTATCGGTCTTCAAGGTCATAGAGACGCTTTTTTCGCGCAAAAAATCTTTCTACATACGCATTTGTCCATTCTGGGCAGTCACGCAGGAGATAGCGATAACTGAGAGAGTCCAGGTGAAACAAGGAAAGGCAGGATAAACAAAAAATGGCTATAATCTCATGCAAATTGCCCCTGCTGCGACTGTACGTAGTCTGTCGCCGAATAAAACGCGGTATTGCATAAATAGTTCGATTTCGATTTCGTAAGTGAGTTAAAAGAGCTTGATTATTGGGGTAGTATGTGGATCAACTACTAACGCCATTGTTCTTGAAGACAGATGGTGTGGAACAACTGGCGGAATACACCTATACCTGGAGTTTGGTTATCGGGATTACACAGTATCCGCACGTTCGTAGTAGAAGGAATAATATATCACATGATTTGTAAGTAACTCAAGTTCTTGAAAAGTTTTCAACTAAATCGACCAAGACTTGCGCCATGAGATTGAGACATCGTGCACCTACATCGTAGTCATGGTGCCTGACTCAAGAAGGGGTGCGTAAAATTCCGATACCAAAAGTTGTCAATGACAAATTTGCATGAAGAATGTCCGGCTTTGGTGGCTGTCAACAACAGCAGCTTTTGTCTTCGTAGTGCCGGAATCTACATTGTTACAAGATTTATGCTGAGTAGAAATAAGAATAACAATAAGTACTTGGCACCATAAGCGATTAGGATTACAAGAAAAAGAAAATATAAGCCTTTCAACTTACTACTCTGGTCGAAATTTATCAAACATCATCGAAAGAACTACTATCTTCACTATCCATCCGCTGTTCCTCTTCCACCATCCTATGCCCTTTTGTCGCCAAGCTATAGGTAGGATCGTCCTTTTCACAGTAAGCTTCACTGTCTGACGAGGACTCCTCAGAATCTTCCTCTTCGTCCGAGTCGACTTCGTCCTGTCCCTGTGCCGCATGTCTAGCCATGCTTCTGAGGAGTCGATTGCGCAAAGACATTTCTAAGTTGGTGGCTTCCCCTTCCGTGGAGGTTTCTAGGCTATCTAGGGCAGGACACATGTTGTTTTCCACTTCAGGTGGTCGTGGTGCAGAGGAAGGCTCCTGCTCGCGAAGAACCAAGTCTTCGGATTGTGCAAAAATGCCTCCATTTGCTTTTTCCTCTTTGGCGGCCTCAACTACTTCCGCGGGGCTTGGTATTCCTCCCGTGTCCTGCAGCGGCTCACCACGGCCCCGTCGTAGCTGCGCAAGCATTGCTGCCTTATCGATCTCTGGTTGGCTACCATTATCGATCCCTTCGTTCAAGGACAGAAGAGGAGCAGCCAGATTCTTTTGGGGAGCTGCTACTGAAAATGCGGGGTCTTTAGTACGGACCAAGGACGTATCGGACTCAATTCGACGTGAGCTTTCGAGAGCGCCGACATCTTCAGCAGGATCTGATAGCATCTCTACCCTAGCCTTGACCTTGCTTTTTCCACGTTGCTCCCTTTTACCACCTACAACTGTATGCTCGTTAGCCTCCACCGGAGATTTGTTCTTATTTCCCACCTTTAGTAGTATGCTTTCCGCACCAGCAGCAGTAGAGGAAGACTCAGCTTTCAGTCTCAGCATTCTCTCAGGATGAGGAGCTTGTTGAAGGTGATGGTGATGGTGATGGTGGCTCTGTCGAGAAGTAGGCTCTTCAACACGCGAAGGACAATCTTCAAGAACCTTGTTGCTTTTACGTGTCACGTCAGTGATCCGCGTCTGTCCGGTGTCAACATCTTCACTCCGCCTTTGCTTTTTACTTTGCGGCTCGGGTTGTTCGCTGTGGCTGTCATCTTCCCTACTTGCACAAACACGAGCGCGCTTCAAACTGTTGTTGATGTCCGAAACCAGTGCTAGTATCCGGCTGCGTCTCTGTTGGTCTATCGCACAGTCGCTGCATATCCATCTGTTCTTGCACGGCATCAATTCCGCCTCGTCCATATGCGTGCTGGTGATGGCACAAATAGCACAGAAAACTTCTTCTACACCTGCAGGACTGTGGTCAACATCCTCGCCGTTTGAATGGACTACGACGCTACTCTGCCCACTACTTGAGCGAAAGTCCTCTAAAAGCTTATGCAGCGACTCCTTTGTGTACAAGAGGTGGCCATCTGTTTTAACGGTAGTAGACCCGCCTTCCGCGTCCGGCTCTGCATCGATACTCGGCGTTACCTTTAATATTAGAGAATGAGATACTGAGTACTGAAATTCTAATGCAAGTCAACATAAAGAGTTTCCACGTAATAAAGTACCAAGTAGTAAAGGAAAGCAATCCGAATATATTACTGAAAACTACCTCCTGTGACAGCACTAACGGTTCCAATCCAACGCCACAGCTGGCCAGAAGCGAACCTGCATTCGTCGTATTCATCGTAGGCGTAGTTGATGAAATAGATTCTACTTGTGTTTGCAATGTCTCTGCCACTTTACTACTGCTAGAAAAACTCGGATCCCCCAGCACCACTACGCTGTGCAGCGCACTCCGAGCACTTCCAAAGGCATCAGCCCTTTTATACAGAAAGGAGTCTTCTGCTAGGCTCTCGTGCGCATCGTCGACGATGATGCAATCTGGGTTCGCAAAGGCATTCTCACTAGATATGCTTGCAAGCGACATAACGTTCGTCGCCAGGCCTCGTCTTCCATGTCCAACATGACCAACGGAAAGCTTATCTAGCAACGCGTTGGCTTCGTCGTTTGCCATACAAGTGACCACTAAGTCCCCTCGTCCCTTGCATTTCTTATCTTCGGTGCTCTGCCACTCTATAGACGCACAGGATGAAAGTCCTCCACCTCTAAGTCGTCTCGTGCTTTCATGCAACGATTTACGAGTTTCAGCAAGTCGCAACGCACGCTTCGCCTGAACCACGTTTTCCTCAGCCTCTGCCAAAGCCTCCTCAGCGCACTCTATCCTTTCAGACAGAAAAAGGTGGATCCACTTCGCACGGTCTAGCGTCGACAAAGACCAAAGATCAGTACTGTGAAGGAAAGACGAAGAGGAACTAACTCTACCGTAGTTGCCAGGGCTGTGCGACAGGGTCCTATACGAGGTGCTGGACTCTACTCCTGTACAACTGGCGTTAGTGCCACGACTTGCAAGCACCGACCGGACATGTGTCGCTATTTGCGGCGAATAAATGACAACTCCTGGTGCTGCACTATCAACGGAAAACGGTCTCGGTAGCCCATCCCCTGCACTGTTCAGTTGCAGTGGCGAGGCTAGTCGTGGTAAGTCAGCGTCTACTAGTGAGCACGCGTCCACAGGAGAATCTACTTTAACATTCCGGAGGTCATCTTTTTGCTCCACAGCGACGCCATCTGCACTATCATGGTCAATGGCACCAAGAACGGAGGCTGTTGCTCCCCGACTGTCTGAAAGCACCTCTGCGCTTGCCAACAAGGTTCCTCGGGTGCTTGGCGTTTTTTCCATCAAACGAGAAGCCGTACGCACAGAGCCCTTTATTTCTGCTGGGACATCGTCTTTGGAGTTCGTCACTGCGAAAACCGGAGGTCCTAGCACCTCTGCTAGCCTTCGAGTCTCCTCGACGCAACCACTCATCCACTCTCCGGTAGCCTCAGCAAGGACTTGCAAAAACGTTTCGCCGTGAGCCTGTATGCAGGTCTGATAATTCGACAACAGTTCTTTAACAGGAACACGAACATTTCCAATATTGATGTCCACAAGTTCTTGGCCGCTATATCGTATTGCGCTGACATTCATCTCCCCTAGGACGCCCTGACAAGATGTCTCAACGGTCCTCCCCTCTTTAGTTGCTGCCGCCAACCTCTGACAGAACCAATCCGTACCTGGGTGTATATCCAAAAGCATGCCGAGTGTGGGACCATCTCCTCCTGTGTCTCCTACTTCACGACAAGTGGAAGAGATGGAGCGGCGCAAACAGTCTTCCACCAAGGCTCCAACGTTGTCTTGAAAACACCGCAAGGCAGTCCTTCTTGCCTCCGTCTGTTGTGCCTCCTCTAGCGCAGAACACGTTGAAGTGATTATAGTGCCAGAGATGGACGCTTTCGCAGTCCTCTCGAGAAACCTAGCCACAAATTCCAGTGCTTGCAGGAAGTCCAACTCGATCGCGTCTGCTGCCTCGAATCTTCTACATCGACCCAACCGCGCCAAAGCGGCGTCTCGCAGCTCCTCAAGCGCCGTTACGCGCCTCGTTGCACGGTCGACGCGCTCTTGCATTTCAGGACATTCCACGTGTCCGAGTACGCTTTTTGTTTTTCTGTCAAGTAGGTTTTTAGTGACAAGTAATTCGACGTCCGAAAATTCCAAGCCCCCTTCTAAAAATCCAGCTTTCTCCAAGTCATGTCGTATTCTTTCGGCTCTTCCACAGTCTGCCGCTAGAAGGAGCACTCTCGTTGTAGCACTTGTTGTAGCAGAGCCACGCGTTGAATCCTTCATACAATGTGCATACGAATGACAATGATTCCCCAAGTGCAAAAGAAGCGGCAGTTTTTGGGCCAAAAACGTTTTTCCAGTTCCCGGGGCCCCGTGCACCACAGTGAGAGGCCTCGAGAGTGCTGCCTTCGCTACGCGCGATTGCTCTGGTGTAAAACACCACCCAGCGGAAAAGTCACGAACAACCTCTTCGTCTTCTCCAGATACATAACTAAGTGTATTCTTCAGTGGTCGTGATTCACGATGCTGAAGACCCGACGCTAATTTCGTCAGCCACGAAGAAGTAGTGGCAGCTTTTTGTACGCCTTCCTTCATCTCGTGATCCTCTCCGCTTCTTCCACTCGGCAACACAGGCAATCCTTGTGTACGGAGGGTTCTATTTTCATCCTCCTTAGGGGTCTTAGACTTCATAGCTGCAAAGCTTGTGTCCAGGGCGATTTCATACAGAGCTGCCTTCAATTTCAAATCATGCGCAACTTTTTTTGTAGTCTTCTGCACTTGCATCTCCACCCGCTCTAGCATCCGAAGCTCTTTCCGTAGTTTGTAGGGCCTATGATTGTCCAATGAATTGTCCTCAGTACTACAACTAGCTACAACTGCTGTCTCGGTGTCTGTGTCTTGAATTCGTAAGAGCTGTAGCAAAGCAGCTGTCTCAGGCTCCCATGATTTCTGGTGCGCAAAAACAGCTCTTTCTTGTCCTCGAGATTCCGTATAAATACTAGTATCTTCTTGGAGACCCGTACGCGTACGCTTCAATGTCTCGTCTTTATCGGGGATACGTCTCGTACTGGACTGTTCAGCTCTCATTTTAGGTTCTCCTTCTTCACTCCTCAAGAGTGGAGTAGCTTGCCATAGTTGTCGCCATGTCGCGGGAGAAAACAGCCAATCTTTTTCACCAGTAGCTAGGCTCTTTTCGTTTTTCACACACCAACGAAGCCAAGACTCAACCACTCCAAGACGGACTGGAGAATCGTGGTCGTGCCGTGTCGCATCACGGTCTCGGTCTGAGGTAGAAGGACTGGTAACTACCTGGAGCAGCAGAGCCGGAGGTACATTTTTCTCACTGAGCGCGGCTAAGATACCATTTGCGAGTCCCACCAAAGTTTTCATGTATGAAGAAGCAGGAGTGGCGTCTGTCACATGAAAACACGCTAAGAGAGATTGCAAGGCGGCGCCTGTTGACCACTCCTCTGCAACAAAAATGCTTCGAACTGCAACTGTGGCGCACAGGCGTAGAAAAGGGGTACTGCAGACCGAGAGACGCGATAGCAGCATCTCTCTCTCAGCATTCGACGTTGGTGATTCATCTCCACCAAGAACAGCGAGACTCTGCAAAACCTTCTTTTCCCTAGATATGAGCATCAGCTCGGTACTTCTCCCAAGAATTGCTTCGCCCGACTCACCATCAACCTCTCCATTCTTCACTAAGGCCACGTCCTCATCGGAGACGGATGCCCTGTTAGCGCACTTTCTTCCTCCATCTCGCGACAGCGCGTACCTCGTAATACGCATAGTTCCTGGCGCACCTGTCACGATCGGAGGAGGTTTTTCCACCAGAAACCTCCCACGCATAGACGGCAGCACTTGCCTCAGCACTTGCCCAGCACTGCCACCACTTGCCTCGGCGGACTGGGCACGACCATTTGTCTGGGCACCGTCGAATGCCACTTCCTCACGCCCATCTGTCTGGGAAAAATCGAATGCCACTTCATCGCCACGAGCCAGGAAGATTCTGAATTCGTCCTGGTCCGCACCGCGTGACAGATCACTCAACTTCTCTGGCGAGAGTTGAAACGGGGACCAGGCGGAAGAGTTGAAACGGGGAACAACGCAGACCCCTTCTCCAGTAGAAGAACCGACTATGCCACGAAGCTCGCTCATCGTTGTCTCCCCTTAGGTACGACTCGGCATGATGCGTTTCGCTCACACATTCATTCATTCATTTACCTGTTCTGGAGGTATCTTTTGACGCTTGAGCGACATATAACTTAATTACTGCTTAGACGCTTCCTTCTATGCATCACTCTTTCCAACTTTCATTGGTCACTCTTTTCTGTGCCATTCTTTTCAGAATACCATATTTATTTTCACATCAATCTTTTCAACTAGTAGGCACCAACATGATGAACATCGCAGTTAGCTTTTCTAAACATGTCCAGGATGGTCTGTGAACACGTGGTCTTAAAAGAAAAAACTGGTAAGCCGAGCGCCTTTGAGGCAGTTTCAGGGCCTCCTCCACAGAACAGCACAAGCTGTTCACCCTTTTGTTTTTGGTTTGTTTAGCAGTACATGAATGAGTTGACGACGCCATAGAAATTTTCTTCTACGTTCATAGTATCTATTTTTATCTCAGAGGGTATACAGAACACAGCTAATATCTTCAGTTGTCTCAAGTAAGTATGCGAAACAATGGATCCCTGTACAACATGATGAATAAGGTTCTACTTGGTGGAAAAAACGTATGTCTGCATCGTCCTTCAGGCATCAGGAACAGCGGTCTCGCATAGACTTACATCTGCTGTCACCCGCAGTCACAAAAGTCAAGACGTGGAAGAAACATTTCAACTTCTCACCTCATGGAGTTTTCAAAACGTCTCGCTGCCAGCCTCCTCCAGCTCTCGACTCGGCAGTACTCGCTGTCTGGCTGCTGACTGGCATTCTCGAATCCCTGCACCTACTACTGAAGAAGAAGCGCCATTTCTGCCAAACGTGAAATCTGGTTGATCATCATCGACACTAAGCTCGTCCTTGCTGCTGTCACCTGCGAGCTTCTTGAGGTTCTTAGCGTGACCTGCGCGCTTCTTCACTGCAGATAATCGCTCTGCGCCTTCGTGGTGAGCGGTGGTCTCGTTGCTTCTTGCTGCAGTAGACGAGGACTCATGCTCAGTGTCGCTGCGAGAATGATGATCATCATCCGCACGCTCGATGTAGAACAAGAAAGGGTCGTCCTTCGAGCTTGTCGAGCCATAGTTCTTGTTGTGATGCTGCTCGTCATGATCTCCTGCACTGTTTTCGAGAGAGCTACCAGCAAAGGCGCTACCTGCACGAGGGGGTGGAGCAGCAGCAGCCGCTGCGCTGCGACACAAGAAGAAGTAAATAACCACTAGTATAGAGATGAACCCAGTGGCTGCAGCACCATGCCAAACCCACTCAGATGCAGCTAGTTCTACTGGATGAAGTTCTGCGAAGCTACTACCGCCAACCCCATCAAGACTCCCAGCGCATCTGTATCGCCAGAACTGCTCATAGTGTTCCTGGTCATCCTGCAGACACGAACCGTTCTCGAAGATCAAGTGCGGGCATTCGCTGCCGGAGTCTTGCGATTCATCCGAAACGACGATCACAGACGGCGCCAATACCTAACGATATCGTTTGATCAAAATCTATAACGCAGGGAAAACAGGGGAAAGAACAATCAGTGACGCTAATCCGCACTAGAAGCTTTACGCATCACCACGCCATTCAAATCCAATAAAATCCTGATCGAAGTCTTGAGCCAAACGGCAGCAAGACAAAGTAAGAAAGCACGAAAACTCCGTGGTCTGCGATGGTCATCATCGAGTCAGGCTTTTTCATACGAACGCAAGTTTTGAGCGCTTGCATTCTCTTGAGGATCCAACAACTTGAACCAGGAGCATAAGTCCTAGAACTGACCGCGGTCATTTCTATCCTTGACCCAAAGTCTCTACCTACTTACTTACTCACGCGAAGAACCTAGAGCGGAACAGCCGCCCCAGAAGATCCCGCACTTATGACGATCGACGGGGCTCCGTCCTGATGGCCAAGGAGGTCAGGGTCTTTTAACTGGTGCACTGAACATTTCTAAGGATCTTGCGCGGCCTCCTGCTGAGGCGTTGAAGGTTTCAAGATCTTACTCACTTAGCATCTTAGTGTTGGAAAATTACCCAAATAACCAACACAAGCAGACTGCGCGCCTGTTCTAAGAATTCCCAGAAGTCTGCCCTCCTTATCCATTGATTCTCCAAACTCATGAGAAGGGCCTGCCACCCACCTCGACCTTCACCACCTTCAAGCCCCAAGCTAAAGCACAGCTCTACAACCGTCCCGCGCTCAGCCTCTCCTTTACCAGAAGCTGCGCCTTTTTCTCCGCTGCGCTTCCAAAATAAAGCAACCCACCCCAAAGCTCTGCATTGGGCGAGCAAAGAGCGAGAAAAGCCCTACCCAAATGGCCCCCCGCTCTGCGCTCGAACAGTGCAGCATTTTGAGCAACGAATACAGCAGAAGAGCGACTGCTGCACCCGCTGACCGGGCTCCTCACTCTGCGACCCGCGTCGGGATCGCCATGCTGTCCAAAAAGAACTGCCGAGAGCGAACGCTTCGCGGCTCCTCATCGGCAAACTGCACCGTTGCCGAATCGCGCCAAGTGCGTGCGTCTCTGCACCAGCCTCGCCCCCTGGATGACGTGACAGGAAAGTCCAGGCGAGCGAAGTCGCGAACATGTCCAAGCACTGCCAACCGGTCCAGGCTGACAAGGCTCTTGCTTGGTCGGAATCTTGTCGCTTCCCGTGCGGTCCTCTGGATACGCGGCCCGATCAAGCAAGTTGGCAACCGCGTACCCCGGTCGCCCGTAAACCCCACGCAGCTCTTGCTTTGAACGCTCCTCGGCGAAAGGCAGCCCCACCTGCACCAAATCGCCGAACGTGAAATCGAAAAAACGCAGCCCACGTTTTGCGATGAGCTTCTTGCGGCTTCGTTCAGCAGCCTCAGCGCTGTCTTCTAGCTGCAGGTAACCCAACTCGCGCCGACCTCGCTCCGGGCGGTCTAATGCGTCTCCGAACGAATGCCGCAGCACACCGCAGCCGCGCTCCAAAAACTGCGGCCGTAAATCCATGAAAAGGCTGCCCCAGCCATCCAATCCGAGCACCCCCAGCGCGCAGCACTTACCTCCGCGTAACTCGTTTGGCATCCTGTTGAGCGCTAGCGCCACGCCTTCCACTCTTTCGCCGTAGCTAGTCTGCTAATGGGAGCGGACCAGCGGGGCCCGCTCTGCAATGATGAGCGCAATACTTGCGAACACACTCCGCCGCGTTCTGTCCTTGGAGATGCCCCCGGCCGAAAGTTCACAGCAAGGCACCCTCTCCGCAACCAAGTGCGCAGCCAGCCCGCCGCATCCTTTACCGCGGAAGTGCTCAAAACCGTGGCCCACACGACACCGCAGGGGAGGGCCATACCGCTTGAAGATTTTGCGGAGGCACTCGATCGCCGCCTTCACCGTTTTGCCCTTCGTCACGAAGACAAAGCGCAGACCGCTAAAAACATCCACCGCCGTGAAGATGTAGCTGCTTCCTCTTCACGTCTCCGCGAACGGACTGGCCTAGTCAGACACTACCGCGCAGAAAAATCTAGCGCACCCCAACGCTTCCGAAGTCATAGAGATGGCGGCTTTCTCCATGCGGTTGATGTTCGTTGCAACAAGGGCACCGCGCCACGAAGTCGCGCCAGCCTTTCCGCATCGTATGCCAGGTCAATCGACTCCGCCGCATCTCCACGAAAGGCGCGCACCCCCCAGCATGCGCCGCGCCCTCTGCTGAGCGGTGAGCCTTTCATATGAGGAAATCGCGCGCACTGATATCACCACTAGGAAAAGGCAAGCGCTCCCCAGCGGTCTCATGCCCTGGAAAACCATCGACCAGCTTACCCGGTGGCGCGATCAACCTCTACTCCCCATCAGGCTCAAGGTGTGCGAGACAATCCTGACCGCCAGGCCGGTAATTGCGGTAGCAGCACTGATCTACGGCTTCCTTGACCCACTTGGTCGGCCACCGCTTCGCGCCACGTCCCACAAGCAGAGCAGGAGCTTGGCGACAGCTGGCATCCTGCTCGAGTGTCCAGTAGTGGATTGGAAAAGCTGCCCGCTGTAGCTGTGCCATCCTCACACTGTCCAAGTCCACACTTTGCCGAAGTTCATCAGGCTCCACCTCCGCTCTCGCTGCTTCTGATCCATACACCAGCAGCATCCTATCGCCCTTCCCCCAGAAACTACCCAGGCCCACACTACTGCCAACTGATCCCATCGCTGCCGGGGTGCCTCCGAGGCGCTCCTATCTTCGCCGACACTAAAAGCAACCGCGTGCGGCCCCAATTTTCTTTGGCGTTGTAGTATCGTTGCGGCACCACTACCGCCCGCACGTACTCCGGGGCGCGCTGCTTCTCGAAGGACATCTGGGAGAGCAGCAGCGCGCGCCCTGCACTACCAGCCGGCTCCGGGTCTGGGTTCTCTTGCAAATCCAACAACGGCCGAGAAGCATCCCGGGGACGAGCAACCTGCGTCTGCATCTGCGGCTGCTGTAGAAAGCAACGAATTTACCCAAAAAGCCGCGCCCTCCTGTGCTGGTTGAAGCCCAGGCTGAGCCCCCTTTGGAGGACCTTAGCCAGGCTCGTCCGGAGCTGGGACTTGCGCCGCGCCTGCGGGTGCAACTGGTGCAAGCAGATCACCACCAGCGCCCGCACCTTCTTCTTCAGGTTCTTCGCTACGAAGCTGCTGGCCCAATTCAGCAGGCCGCTCTTGGATTTCGTCGGGCCGCGCCGCGATGGCTCTCGTCCTGCGTTTTCTCGGCAGCGCCTCTGCCCTCTCCTCGTTCCCAATCCTGTGCCACACTTGCACGCGCAAAGCATGGCGGCCGCCCTTGGCGCCCGCGCTACATACGGGCTCCGCCTCAAATGAGGACAAACTTTCTTGCGCACCTGGTTGAAGTGCAGACTCTGCCCGAGACCACGGCAAGCGCACCGCCGCCAGCTGCTTCTGGCACCCTGCTGCTAGCTGCGGCTCTTCCTGTCGGATTTGTTCTTCGTCTACCAGCTTGGTGAAGTACACCGGCCCGCGCTGAACCTCTTCAGGCGCGCTTGGGCTGTAACGTCAGGCGCCATCACCTTGGTCGCGACCGACGTACTGCAAAGCCGCCCCGAATGCCTTTGCGTATCCTGGACGCGCCTCCGTCAGGTAAGCGAAAGCGCGACGCGTCTTGTCCGAGACAACCGCGCCACGGCGCTGCCCGGTCTTGTCGCGAAGCTTCAGCAGCTGCAAGCTTAGCGAGCCCGCAGCGATATCAGGAGCGCCCAGGCCCCCAGTGTCAGCAACTTGGTCGCCAATCTTCGGCGCGTCTGCTACTCGTTGGGGATCTGTGAACAGCCATCGCGCGCAACCTGCCACACCACGCGGAACTTGTGCGAGTACGTCCCTGGCCCCCTCGAGGATCTCTTCCCGAGAACGGTCCGCCGGATGCCCGCCTTGGCAGAATGCTCGCCAGCGGGTTCACCTCTCCGCTGGGTCGGTGGTGTGAGCCCTATGAATCAGCGGGCTGCTGAGTTTCGGTAGAGTGCTCCCGACCCATCGCTGCACCTTTGCGGGCTTGACCTGCGAAAGCGCGACCTCCTCGAGGGCACTTGGGCCCAAGTTCTTGGGGTCGAAGAACATAAAAATCTCACGCCCTTGGACCAGTTGCAGCCCCAGGCCAGCAAACAACTTCACCGCCACGAGCTCTCGCGCAAAAGTTCCAAAGCTTGAGTCCCCCGGCGCAAAGCTCCGACGCCGCGCCACGATCAGCCGCAACGCCCCATGCCGACGATCAGCTTGCGCAATCACGAAACCACGCCCAAAAAGACTAGCACCCAGAGGCACTACTATAGGCCGCCCGCTCGTCTTCAAAAGCTGCTGCTGCGCCGGCTGCAGATCCAACGCCTTAGGCGGAACATCATGACGCAAACTTTTGCGCAGACGATCAAAAGCAGCCAAAGCTTTGGGAAAGCTGTGCAACCCGCGAACGCTGCCCCTCTTGCTGATCCATTTCCGCAGGGGCGCTACTACTTCGCTGAAGTCTGGCATGAACTCACGAGAGAAGTCGGCGAAACCCACCGCTGAAACTAGATCCGCCCGAGAGCGGGGGGCAGACCAATCCCGCAACGCGTCGCGGCGCTTCTTCGTTGGGGTCCTGCCTGCCGCGCTGAACATGTGCCCGAGGATCTCCAACGACTTGCAGCCGAGGCACGACTTCCGTAACGACAGACAGGGGCCCGCCTCTTTGCACGCCCGGAAGAGCGTCAGCGCGCGATCCCTGAGCCCGGCCTAACTAACTGCATCGAGACAGAGGCCATCGGTCTAAACGCTGCAAAATTCGCGAACGCTGGCACCCTTCAACTTTTCGAAGGTTGGCCCTCTCCATGCCTGGGAAACTGCTGGCGCCCAAACAAGCCCGAGCGGCATCCGCGTTTGGGAATATGCTCCGCCCCCGGTCGTCCACGCCAACAACCTCTGCAACACCGGGGGAAGAGAAAGCTGGCCAGAACCAAGAGCAAGGCCCAACGCAGCGAAAAGGCAACCACTCCGCTGGAGTAATTTCGAACAGGTCAAGCCCTGCTGCAGCATCTCAAAGAGCACACTCTGCGCCAAGGTGTTAAACTTGCGAAAGTCAACCACGCTCCGCTTTGTTTCGTGGCCTTTGCACACTGCCAAGAGCGCTAGGCTGAGCATCAAAGGGGAAGCACGCTCCCACGGGTCAAACTTCACGCACTTCCCCTCTGCAAATGCTTCCCGCAAGCTGAATCAATTCCATTCGCAGGCGGTCCAGGCAGCGGCCCGAGATCGTAAGGACGAGGGGAAGACGAGGCAGCAGGCGCGTGGCCCGGCACCAGAATCTTGATCGAAAGAGAATGATACTCACGCCCGGCATCAAACAGCGAGACTGCTTTCGGCGTGGTCACCTCATCGGCCCAAGAAGTCAGCGAATTCTAGACCACTAAGCCCCCCAGCTAGGCGCCCCCTGTCCTCAGCCCAATAGTCACGCACCACTTGCTTCCACTCTGGTGAGCCCTTCGACAGCAGCCCCGCACCTCGCTCAAGCTTTTCTGATTTCTCCGCAATCTCACGAGGAGGCCCTTCTTCCTCAGTCAGCTCACCAGGGCCATCTCCTCACTTCGAAAAATGACCGCGGTCATTTTTGGGGGTTCCGCCTACAGCAGCACCTGTCTCGCCTTTCTCCTCGGGCTCTTTTCAAATCTGCCAAGCGTCGAAGGAACGCCGCCCAAGCTGCTGCAGCTCAGGGTCGTCAGAACGCGAAGAGCGGGGCAAAACCTGCGCCAACTGCGCCGCCACTGGCATATTTTGCACCCGTGTCGCCGCCTCATCATCGAACAGCCCCGCGAGCTTCCAGAAAGGAGTGTCTTCTTCAGCCCAGCGCTGAGTATGTGCGTGCCAACCGCTTGGACCACCAACAGCCTGACTGCACCATCTGCGGCGCTGCGCTGCTTCTGTTGATGTGCTCCCGCGTCCGAACATCCGCTCCCGCGCACGGCGCGCCTGTCGGTTTATCCGCTTCCGCCGCTGCGTCACGTTCTCTTCTCGCCACGTCCGCAGAAACTCCCCCATCTTCGCCAGCTCTCGCTCGTCCGTCCCCCGCAGCGATGCAATGCCTGCAAGTGCAAGACGGCCTTCTCAGCGCCCTGCGCAAGGGTGAAGCCCCTCCACGACTCCGCCGCGCGTCCTGAGTCACGACCAGACGGCCTAGCCCCTGCTGCCTTCGAGCAGGTCACTTCAGCCGGACTATCCTGCCAGGATTCAACTCAGCAGGAGTCCACCTATAACCATGAAGGACACCTGCCCAACAATATCCGCCCGCCGCATCTGCTGCGTCAGGTGAGTCTACAATGGCCCGCGCTGCCCCCACCCGAGCTCGCAGCCCTTCGCCAATAAGTCACAACGCCTCAGCCGGTGACGTGACAGCGGCTCCTCCTCTGGCCAATGGCCGGCAGCGTGTTGATCTATGCTGGTGCTGCCCGGTAGCGCGTCACTTTCAGCTTCCGCGCCTTCGCTTGGTGACGCTCGAAAGCTGCTACCCCCTTGTAGCAGCGCGGTCAAGAAGATAGCGAAAGACGCTACCCCAGCGAACGCTGCCAGGGTGGTTGACAACAGAGGCGCAGCTTGCTGCCCCGCCGCCGCATGTCCATGCCCTGAATACCACTGGCGAATTGGGTGCGCCCTGTCGTCGCGGACCTTCCGCGCCTTCTGCTCCTTGTGCTGCGAAGGCGGAATATCTGCGACAACCCCAAGGGCACCGGCGTCGCCTGCTGCTTCCGCCGTGCTGCATCCTTCAACCGGCGCAGGCGCATGTCTGTCGCTCTCGTCTTCGTTGGAGTTATCAAACCAGTCACGGCCGATCTTGAGCGGTGTCGCGATTCCGTCTCCAGTAGGGGCCAACAGCCCTGGCACACGCTTGAGAGTCCATGCCCAAACGAGCGGACCCGGGCGCTCCGGTTTGTCGCCTGGACTGTCAGCTCCTCACCCGGGTTATAATCCACGGCCGTGAACTGATCCCGGTGCAAGACGATGGGCAAAGCCGTCACCAGTAGGCGACATGTCCACGACATAAGCTGCTGCGCCCCGAATTGTGTCCCACGCAAAATCCGCCACGTCAAGGTCAACCGGGATTGGCTCACCAGGGCCAAGCCCCGCGCTGCACTCTGCCGCAACAAGCTTCAGACGAAACGACTCTGCTGCAGAATGATGAACCAGAGGAACGCAGAACCACTGCGAACCCCGCTGCTGCGCGAAGCCCTCACCGAGCAGCTCCGCTGCGTCATACCGAGACGAATCTGCACCAAGACCTTGCCCCGGATCCGCCAGCAGAGCAAAGTGTCCCAACTGCGCACCCGGGGGCCCTGAAGAATTTCCACCGGAGCACAACCACAGCCCCAAGCTGCGAAGCGTGCGGTGCTGTGGCCCAAGTTAATCCCGTCCGTCAACCCATCCAAAGCTGGGAACTTCTTGGAAATTGGGCCGGAGCGCTGTCCGCGTGTGTCATGTGAGTTCTCCAACTGGGACGCTAGTGACTCGCACCGGCGAGCATGGGTCGCCTCCTTTGCGCCTTCAGTGATGGCGGCCACGCCAGGCCTGTGCACCAGGGGAAGTCGCAGCTGCTGAACCTTATCCATGGACATCGCGCAATTGTCACCAACGGCCTGCCGCGACTTGCGGCCTACCGTGCTGCCAGTGTCTAAATGCGCCGCCGCGCTGTGCTCTGCCCCCTCACCACTAGACATATACAGTCGAACGAAGGCACGCTGGGGAAGTTGCTCCGGCCTGTCCAATGCGATAGACCCGCCCCCCGAGTCGGCAGCACCTGGCTCATCCACTGCACTAGAAGGCTGCGCCACGACATTCGCCGCCACCCAGACGAGGAACCTCTCCGCGTCCAACTCCAATAGCCCAGCAGTCTCCGCACAAAGCTCGCCGAAATTCTCCGCGGTGAACTTGTCACACTTCTCCGGGAGATCCAGCTCTACCAGCCGAGCTGGCTCCTTTTCTTCACCGCTGGCAGCAGCTTGCACCAGCTGCAGAAACTCTGCTGGCCGCTCTGTCAGCCTGAGGCTGACCTTGGCGCCGGTGGCCCCCGTGCAATCTCCACGCAACAGAACAAGAGCGCCACGCATGCCAAGAATTTCCTTGCTCCCGCTAGGTGCAGCACCTGACCGCGCCGCCGTTGTTTGTGGCGCTATGCCCTTGCTGCGCAGCTCTGCCATGCGAGAGAAGCGCCGCCGCCACTCCCTCCGCCCGGCCGAGTCCAGCTTCCTGCGCTCCTCCCTCATCTCTTTGACCCAATCCGGAAGCTTGAGGTGCTCGCTGGCATATCGCTGCTTGCACCAGTAGCCTTGCACAAAGGTCGAAAGCAAAACCCTCGAGGCGACCGCGCTAGTTGCTCTGCCGTCCGCGCTTTGTCACCTTGCTGCGCTCGCTTCGTCAGGCGCAGAGTATTTGCGCCCTGCTTTTCCCACGGTAGACAGACAGCACGCCGCACCTGCTGCCCGTTCAGATCGCTGCACGCTTTGCAGGTCTGACGCCGAAGCTTATATATCCGGATAGACCAGCAAACAGTAAGCCATGTCGCGATCGCAATCACGACGACACGCACCGGGGTGCTCCCCGCCGCACTGGTTAGCAGTAAGAGTCTGCTCCACAACAAGCCCCACAGCTCCGCCCGTGTCTGCTTGTGCTGCCAGGCGATAGCTTCCATGCTCAGCGTCCTGCTCTTGCTCTGCGTCACCATCTTCTTCGTTCAACCGAGTCCGCGCCCTCTGCTCCGTTGTCCACGCTGCGAAGCTCTCCAGTTTGCGCAGCGTAGCGCTTCTCTTCCGCACGAGAAACTTGCTCTTCGGCAGCCACTGCTTCAAAAGCCTGCAAGACATGCGCAGCAGTTCTGCCCACTGTGGCTGCCGAGGAGGATGGGGCCGATTTAGATCCTTGCAGAGCTCCAAGTATACCCTTACCGCTGCGGCCATCTTTGCCGGAACCCGGGCCGAGTACTCGGCCGGGAGGCCAGCGGGCGCAAGGAGACCGACGAGCACGAAAAGAAGTGAGGGACCCCTCTGCTCCAGCTGGGTCGCCAAGTTTAGCAACGCGCCTGCCGGTCTCCGCTCGCCGAGTCGTCAAGACGTCGAACCGCTCCCGCACCTGCGTCGCAGAGTCTGTTGAGCCAGCTCCGCCTCCTCGTTCTGCGTACACCACACGCAGGCGAGCAGCGTCTAGCCCTGACTCCTTCCCCGGAGTCAAGTTCGCCGCTGCTGCTCCACGGTGGCAAATCTCCTCCAGCGCCGCCGCGTGTGCGTCATCCTCTCCTTCGTCGCCTCCTTCTCAGCATTCCGCCAGGATTGCCTTGAGCGTGCGACTTGCTGCTGATTCTGGTTCCAACTGCATGAGAAAATCCTCCCACGCCCGCCCCGGTGCTTTCCCAACCAGTTGCAGCCACCTCTTTGCCGCACGTCGCTCCATGTAAAACCCTTCAGCCGAGCTGAGGCGAAGCGTAACTGGCTTGCTCGCATCGTTCCGGACCTGTGGAAACTCAGCCGCCTTATAACGAGGCGCCGAGTGTGCCTCACCGGAAGACGCTGATACTGCAGGCGCAGAAGTTGGAACCGCAGCGGCGAAACCGATGGAACCCAGAACAAGTTCTAGCAAGATTCCCGACAGAGACCGCGCCACCCCCAAGAAATTGCCTAAGATGTGAGCGCGAGCTTCGCGCGCTGTCTGGAACCGCTTCCACGGCCCGAGGCTCTTGAAGTCAGCCGCAGGACCTTTCACCCGAAACACGGCAAACGACTGCCCGCCCCTGGTTGCTTCGCTGCCTTCCGTTACGCGATAGCATCGCGCATCAACTACTTCTGAACGCCCGACCAAGTGCCTCAGCGCTCTGCTTGCCTTCATAACCGCGAAAGCCTGGCCTTTGATCGTATTCTTAGTAGTTTTCGTAGAAGAAAGAGAAGAGGCCGCAGCTGTCCTGGACGTCGCTACTGCTTGCCAGGCCGGTAGAGTTGCGCCCGAGCTAGTTGACAAACCCGCAGGCACCACAGCCGTGCCGCCACCGCTTGCCTGTTGAGCTCCTCGCAGCAGACTCTTCACCCCTGGCGTCGACCTCCCTCGCAACATGCTCAGCCTTCTGGGCTTGGATCGCGCTCGCAGCCTCAGGGTGACGCCTTTGACTGTCTGCTGGCCTGTTTGGGTCTCCTTGCTGAATCGGAACCGACGCCCCGCCGCTCACTTGTGGTCTGCGACTTCACGCCTTCCACCCCTGTGACGCTGCTGCCGCTATACCTCCGAGGCAACTTGCTGCACATCTTGCCAAAGCATCCCCCACGCTGCTGCGCAACCAATTCCTTCACCTTCATCATGCGACTGCGAGCCCCGTGCGCCGCCGCGCACTGACTCGCGCCGAAGTAGACCACGAGCAGCGCCCTGACCTACGTCATCGCCGTCCGTCGCCATGCTGTAGAAGTCCAGGCGCGAAGCGAATCCTTCCCCGCTTCCTGTGGAACTGGGTCTGCGTGGCGGGTCCTTCGTCGCCTGGTACTGTCCCCACCCCGCTCGACAAACTAGAACGCAGGGCGCCTCCATCCTCATGAGCTTCTTCTCCCGGGACCGTAGTCAAAGACGCACGCTGAGCTTGGCGCAGTGGCCGCCGGCCATGGACATAAAACGGCGGCAGATTCGGGCCGTGCATTATTTTCGGCTGAAATGTGAGGAGTCCCGCTGCCTTACAAATTTCGGGAATCTGTTTCGTGTTAAGAGCGACACGATGTACCCAAGTAAAACTATGCGGGATACGCGAAAGGAGGTGCTATAACTCTGCCTAGGTTATCTACCACGGGAGCGAGTCCACCACTTGCGACGCCTACCGATGTCGTTTGATTAAAGTCTATAATACAGGGAAAACCGGGGAGAGAACAATCAGCGACGCCACTCCGCGCTAGGGGCTTTACTAATCCCCACGCCATTCAAATCCAATAAAATCCTGGCCGAAGTCTTGAGCCAAACGGTAGCCAGACAAAGTAAGAAAGCGCGCAAAGCCAGTGGCCTGCGATGGTCATCATCGAGTCAGCCTTTTTCATACGAGGAGCGCAAGTTTCGAAAACTTGCACTCTCTTGAGGATCTAACAACTTGAACCAGCAGCATAAATCCTAGAAATGACCGCTGCCATTTCTATCCTTGAGCCAAAGTTTCTACCTACTTAGTTACTCACGCGAAGAACCTAGAGCGGAACAGCAGAAGATCGCTCACCTGTGGCGATCTATGGAGCTCCGCCCTGATGGCCATTAAGCTCCGGGTCTTTTCATTGGCACGCTGAACATTTCTAAGGACCTTGCGCGGCCTCCTGCTGAGGCGTTGAAGGTTTCAAGATCTTACTTACTTAGGATCTTAGTGTTGAAAATTTACCCACGACGCCCCTGCATAGTCTTCCACAAATTGGTGCACGACGATCTCCTTCACACCCTCATGGCTGCCACCGCTTCCGCCTCCCGCGATAGGAATGGCTTTCGAATATTTACGAAATTTTTTTCTTTCGACATCACCAGCTTGGTTTTTGCAAGTCGCAACGCCTCCCTCACCCCGCCCGGGCGTGCAGTCAAAAAATTCGCGATATTTCCACTCACCATGCGTTAACGTCCCGCAAGCTGAGCGAAAGGAAGGCGAAATAGTATTGACCTAATTCTCACAAAGGTACGGTCTGGATCTGAAAAGCCGAACCAATGAAAGGGTCCGGAGGTAGACAGATTGACGGTAGCGGTAAGAAAGCAACCACATCAGACAGGGAAGATAAATCTTTGCCATGTGCCCGACGTCACAACATTTATTATGGTGTCCAAATACATCTACATCACTTCAGAAGCACTTACACGAGTAAGCGTTTTTACCATTGCCACGCCGTCTGTGGCAATCGAAGACGTCATCCAAAACGTGACTCACTACAGCTTGCGCCTCGATGTCGTTTTCGGTTGGCTGCGGCGGCGCAATCAACTTTCCTGGGAATTTCCCCGCGCTTATACAGTTAGGAGCTTTAATATGAGTGGGTCCACTTTTTGAGAATGGCGATGGGAGAAGGTCGTTCCTGTGATTCGTGCACCAAAATACTCAGACACTGTCCTCGAGACGCGAGAGTCTCAATCTCTTTTCGGTATGATGAGTCCAATTTCTTTAGACAAGAACTTGAGTAACTCAACCTCTATCAACAAAATGATCACGAAACCCAAACTCACGCTGCCAGCGCGAAGATATCCCTTCACGAAGGGAGCACGTTAGTCAGACAAGTGGAACGACCTTCCCCGAGCATCGTCCCCAAAGCGTGGAACCATACGGCCGGTCGCCGACACGCGGAAAAGCTCTCTCTACAGATTGTCTAAACTCCGCGAAAGATGACAGTGAGACTGCGCGCGCAACTCTGTTGCCCATCGTGTTTCGTCCCTAACATTTATCTAACTAATAGTCAACTTCTCTATTTTTCGCCGTAGCTATTGCTAAAAGCGAATACATTCTAATTTAGACCACGTTTGCGCCTGGCTTTAGATTCTTTGCACAGCTCTCGCATTCATTCATTCTCGCCCACACACCACGACTTTTTTTTTTTGGTGCCTGGGTCTACAATTTCCCGCTATAGTTCCACTCAATTACCCCGCGGGAAGCCTGAACTTGTGCGAGGGAGGATCTTCCTATACGACGGGTTTTTAACGTTCGAAGGCCATGGGACAAGATAACCCAAAATCTCGGCAGCTTCAAAATATAGTTCTCGTAGCTATACTTTCACGTGATGTAGCATTCACTCTTGTAACTCTTGGTCTTGTTCTATTCCGATCTATTATGTAATCCCGACAAGTATTTGAGTTATTATCTTCGGCGATTAACACTGTTTTTCGCGGCTGCGATTCTAAATCGCCAGCACATTTGCAAGCCAGGTGATCAATGGTCATGATCATCACGTGCCTAGCGCGAGGTATTGAGATTTGCTTGCGCAACGTGCACTACTCATACTGACTCGCCCAAAATGCGCAGCAATTAGTGTTCGCTGGTATTTCTTGAAGATGCACGTAATCAGTGCTAGCGGCATGTGGTCAACAATGCTGATTTCTTTGGCAAGCAGAATCCCCCAGATTCACAATCTTTTCAACCTCCTCCGTCTTCATCAATAATTGTAGTTCCAGTCTTATTTTCGCTCCCGGTCTCGCTCTCTTGAAGAAGTGCGCGCCGTTGTTTTGTATTTTCCATGCTCTGCGCCTGCCGAAGACGCTGCTTCGTCCTCCCTCATCCTCCGGGGCGCTGTTCGTCAACACTCTCGGCATCTGATTCGACGATGGTGGAGCGGTTGATGACCGCAGCGACTCTGTTACTGCCGCAGTCATCTACAACTACACCTTCTTCGACGCCTCACAACCGACGCTGGATCATTGCCTGAAGTCTCGTTCATGTATTACACGAGTTCCTGTTATCCTCACGATCACAATCGGCACCCGATCCTCTGGAATTGAACAGCAACAGAAGAGGACTAGCGGCTAAGCTTTCTCTCTACGCGCTTCTCCAGAAAGGTACGGACCGCCTCGAGCCGTAGTCCTTGTCTATCAGGTCGCTGCAGCTGATGAGCCCCTGCGTCACTGCTTTCGAGAGAACAGCGCGCAGTGGCGCTACGGACACGAGAGGAACAGGAGCCTTCTGAGCTTTCATCTCACTCGTACATCGGATGAGCAACATGCGCTTGCACACAGAGACATACTTATGCTAGCTGGCCCCAGAAAGATTGAAGAGGTCGCCACATCTTTGGTGGAGACATTGATGCTGCAGCTACTCCTGCTTCTAGCACCAGTTGCAGTACGATTTAATTGGCAAAAATCATTCGCGTACAAATACCGAAGCGGAGGTCTCCGGCTTTTTCTAAACTTGTAGTGTAATTGCCAGCAGGAGTCCCCTATTCCTCTGAGGATATGTGATGTTCTAATAATCGGATTTTGATTTAGGGCGCATACCTAGTAGTGTTTAGGGTGGAGTGGGCGTGGGTTGGTGGAATGGAGTACTTAATGTGATATGATGTGGCGAACACCATTTGAATTCTTTTTTCATCTAATAATTGATTTTTGACATGTTTTACAGTACTTTTTGTTCCATCAGCCAGCAAGTCCGAATCCAAGGTAAAATGATCGAAGATAAAACAGAAACCGTTCGCAAGGCCTGCAGTGATGATCTCCAATTCTACATCAAACACAAGAAGCAACACGTTGATCATTCTTGTATACTCGATGGTTGTAAAAAGTACCCGCTGATGTCCTGATGGCAGCGACCGTAGCTGCGACCACCTAGAATGAGGCAAGTCATCTGCTGTTCGGTGAGACCAGCTCGATCTAAGAAAACCCGACGCATTTGATCCGCAACGGCCTTCACCTCAGGTTCCTCGTCAGTACCTGGAGCGGGCGGACGGTGATCATGAGCCAATCGGTGTATCGGTAGGCCGTCGGGGACTGCTGAGTGACGGACCAGGTGCTCTTCATGTAGACCTCGTTCAAGAATGCAACGCCGTACACCAGCAATGCTGCGACGCACACGCTGCGCTTCCACTCATTTCATTTCAGTGGCCGACTTCGGCTGCGCTCGTCTAGGCTCTCGCGTTTTTCCATATCGGCCTTGTCACGGCAGTCGTGCGTACTCTGTTTTTTGTTGTATTCAAGAATAAGAATTTGAATCGAACAATAAGATTTCTTGTCATGGGAGGAATTTGAGTCACATTCTGAATGGACAAACAAAGATTTCCTGTTCTTAAAAGAATTGCCGTGCTTCTAACAGTTCATCAGACCCATCTACTAGTGGAGGATACGCTTTGGGACTTCGTTCATCTCGATGAGGAAGAAGACGGTGAAGGCAAGCATCGCGTTGCACGCAATCCAGAAGGTCGCTCCGACCACATCGTGGGATCCAAGAGCCCCGTTATCGGCAAGAGCCTGGACGATGGATGGAAATGAAAAATTTCTTCACGAAGAGAGAAAATCTAAAAAAATGTAGGCTATCTGCGGATACTGTAGATCATATCAAAATGAACATCTTTCCATTTTTAGGAAAGACCTAAATGAGCATACTATGTCGCACAGAAGGCAACACTTGCCTCAGCACTTGCCCAGCACTGCCACCACTTGCCTCGGCGGACTGGGCACGACCATTTGTCTGAGAAAAATCGAATGCCACTTCCTCACGACCATTTGTCTGAGAAAAATCGAATGCCACTTCATCGCCAGGAGCCAGGAAGATTCTGAATTCGTCCTTATCCGCACCGCGTGACAGATCACTCAACTTCTCTGGCGAGAGTTGAAACGGGGACCAGGCGGAAGAGTTGAAACGGGGAACAACGCAGACCCCTTCTCCAGTAGAAGAACCGACTATGCCACGAAGCTCGCTCATCGTTGTCTCCCCTTAGGTACGACTCGGCACGATGCGTTTCGCTCACACATGCAAAGGATTCCTATGCAATGCATTCCTTTTCAACTTTCATTGGTCACTCTTTTCTGTGTCATTCTTCCACAATTAGACTGATCTCTATTTTGGATCCTGTTGTAACGCACGTAGTAAGAGCCTGTAAGCCAAAGCGCCTCATCAAACGCTATGAAAAGAGAATGAAATTCCCCTCAAAAAGATTGATTTGAAAAGCGCAAAGCCTCTGAGGGATTTCCGGCAGTCTTTGGCAGTCGCAACTACAGTTTCCTTTGAGCACAGACTGTTTCTTACGCATAGCACAAGACTCAGGCTGTTTCTTATGCATAGCACAGACCGTTTCTTACAGTACCACTCGCAAGCTCTTCCCACAGCCTTTTGCACCATAAGGCACCATCAGAGTATTCTTTCAGAAACACCTCGCACCCTTCTGCGGAAGCTTTTCTACACAAGAAAGAGCGACGTCTTGTGTAAAAACAGAAAACTACGATCTTCAAAGTATGGAGTAGAAAAGTTTCACTATCATCCTCACGACTTCGCTGTCTCTGTCCAAGTCTCCAGTCACACGAACAAGACTGGTTGTAATTCTGCAGGACACACTAGAGCAGTGTAAGAGATACCAGATTACAAGTCAACATTAAATCAAAGTAGAGGTACGTGACAACGGAGTTCTCTATCTGAAAAATCTATACACGACAAGCTTCTATTCAGGTGAACAGGTCGACGTCGAATTCATTATATTTTTATATATACCAATCGTACGACGTTTACGTTAGATGGAATCATTAGATATCGATGATGTTAAGAAAAAATTTATGAACATTTCAGAGACTAAACAAGTAGTCAGATTTACTACCGGAACCAAGGTGGCTGAGTAAAAAAACATAACTCGTATACAGAAGACTACTTGGTGATACAATCACTCACATGAGTGTTTACAGCACTAGGAGGTTATGAAACAAGAACAGGCGCAACTATCAGCATTGAAATCCTATCAACATGGGGTGAACCTAACAAATTCTTCTCTACTACAATCTATAGACATTTTGTGGGGATATCAATCAACACAGAAAGATGTCTCTTCTCTTGCAAGAGAAAATTAAGACCAAGAGTGAAGAGCGCCACCTTTTCCTGCTTTATCTCTGCCGACGTAGAAGAGGTTGCCACCAGAATGTGAAAGCCATGAAGATCTTGACCATGATGATGTTGACAATGATGACGCCATGCTTCCTGTGTCGTCCTTCTCATGTGATGCGTCGTCCTTCTCATGTGGTGTGGATGTGCATCTTTCTTTCCATCATGCATGCCCCCTGTGTCTTCTTCCATGGATGTGTGTCCCCTCTTTCATGTGTGGCTATGTATCGTGTTGTACCTCCACGCAACATCGTCCTCTCCTACTCCTGAATTCCTGTCCTATAACTTCCTCTTCTTCATGTTGTATGATACGCCGTGTGACGTCGACTAGACCACACGTATGATAGTACGCCGTTTATGCTAACGGAACGATGTACGCATCGTTCCGGATTTTAGCATCAGACGTCTTCACCCGGAAAGATGCGATCGTAGTAGGCCGCGAGGTCGTTATCAGCGTCCCACTCGCTGTCGGAAGAACCAACATCACCGGCCACTGCGTCTTCTAGAGCAGCGTCCTCAACTCCAATTCCTGCGTCTTCTACAGCGTCACCTGTTTCCAAGTCCGCGTCTACGAATGAGTTTCGCGGAGTAAAGACCTTCACTTGATGCTGCGCCGTGCGTTTTTGCCAGATGTAGTAGCCAGCATACGCCAGGAGCAAAATGCACACGACCGACAAACTTACGATCAACACGATCCAGATCGGACTTAGTCCACGTCTAGGAGAGGGAGGAGGAGGCACGCCGCTGCCTCCGTGGCCGTTTCCTGCACCTCCGCTTCCTGCGCCTCCTGTTCCTTCAGCGGCGGCTTTTGGTGCAGCTTCTTTTGGAGCTGCCTTTTCTCCGCGTCCTTTGGCGCTACGCCTGCGACGTGGCTTACCTCTTCCCCTTACCCTGTGTTCATCTTCACGACCATCCTCAGACTCTGCGGCTTCTGAACGCTCGACGCTTTCGTCACTGATATCGCCGTTGCTAGCATTACTATCGCTGTCGCCACTATCGTCATCCCCATTTCCTCCTGAGCCGCCATCGCGTCCACCATCATCGCGTCCACCATCATCGCGTCCACCATCATCGCGTCCACCATCATCGCGTCCACCATCATCGCGTCCACCATCATCGCGTCCACCACCATCGCGTCTACCATCCTGGCCCTCTCCATCAGTCTCCTCATCATCATTGTCGCTTCGAGGGCTATTCGGACGGTCGTGTCCATCACCACCGCGCGCACCACCATCACTGCCTCCACGTCGACGGCCACCCTCATCTTCGCTTGAAGCGCCGTTGCTCTCACCACCACCACTTGAGGGGCCAGCACCCGCACCGCCCCTAGTGCCGGCTCCTGGTGCACTAGCTCCACGTCCAGTTGGCGCCGGGCCGCCTCCTGTGGAGTTGCCCGACGCACCAGCTCCAGGCGCAGAAGGTGTACCATTCGTTGATCCACTACTATTTCCATGAGATGGTGGTGTAGTGCGACCCGGAGCGGAACTGCTGGCGCGAGCATCGTGATGCGGTCTACTGTTCGGAGCAGTCTCGGGTGGCGGACTAGCTTTGTGCTGAGCAGATGCAGTTCCACCACTAGAAGCTCCCGTCGCTGGTCCGCCAGCTTTGGGGGCGCGAGGTGCAGTTCCACCACTAGAAGCTCCCGTCGCTGGTCCGCNAGACGTCGGCGTCGGAGCCTTGTCAGCTGCTTCTGCACCAGGCGTCACTGACGGAGTCTTGTCAGCCGCATCAGCGCTAGATGCTGCTGCTGGAGGCTTGTTGGCGGCACCAGACGTCGGTGTCGGAGCCTTGTCAGCCGCATCAGCACCAGGCGTCACTGTCGGAGTCTTGTTGGCCGCATCAGCGCTAGATGCTGCTGCCGAAGTCTTGTCAGCGGCACCAGACGTCGGCGTCGGAGCGTTGTCAGCCGCATCAGCACCAGACGTCGGCGTCGGAGCCTTGTCAGCTGCTTCTGCACCAGGCGTCACTGACGGAGTCTTGTCAGCCGCATCAGCGCTAGATGCTGCTGCTGGAGGCTTGTTGGCGGCACCAGACGTCGGTGTCGGAGCCTTGTCAGCCGCATCAGCACCAGGCGTCACTGTCGGAGTCTTGTTGGCCGCATCAGCGCTAGATGCTGCTGCCGAAGTCTTGTCAGCGGCACCAGACGTCGGCGTCGGAGCGTTGTCAGCCGCATCAGCACCAGACGTCGGCGTCGGAGCCTTGTCAGCTGCTTCTGCACCAGGCGTCACTGACGGAGTCTTGTCAGCCGCATCAGCGCTAGATGCTGCTGCTGGAGGCTTGTTGGCGGCACCAGACGTCGGTGTCGGAGCCTTGTCAGCCGCATCAGCACCAGGCGTCACTGTCGGAGTCTTGTTGGCCGCATCAGCGCTAGATGCTGCTGCCGAAGTCTTGTCAGCGGCACCAGACGTCGGCGTCGGAGCGTTGTCAGCCGCATCAGCACCAGACGTCGGCGTCGGAGCCTTGTCAGCTGCTTCTGCACCAGGCGTCACTGACGGAGTCTTGTCAGCCGCATCAGCGCTAGATGCTGCTGCTGGAGGCTTGTTGGCGGCACCAGACGTCGGTGTCGGAGCCTTGTCAGCCGCATCAGCACCAGGCGTCACTGTCGGAGTCTTGTTGGCCGCATCAGCGCTAGATGCTGCTGCCGAAGTCTTGTCAGCGGCACCAGACGTCGGCGTCGGAGCGTTGTCAGCCGCATCAGCACCAGACGTCGGCGTCGGAGCCTTGTCAGCTGCTTCTGCACCAGGCGTCACTGACGGAGTCTTGTCAGCCGCATCAGCGCTAGATGCTGCTGCTGGAGGCTTGTTGGCGGCACCAGACGTCGGTGTCGGAGCCTTGTCAGCCGCATCAGCACCAGGCGTCACTGTCGGAGTCTTGTTGGCCGCATCAGCGCTAGATGCTGCTGCCGAAGTCTTGTCAGCGGCACCAGACGTCGGCGTCGGAGCGTTGTCAGCCGCATCAGCACCAGACGTCGGCGTCGGAGCCTTGTCAGCTGCTTCTGCACCAGGCGTCACTGACGGAGTCTTGTCAGCCGCATCAGCGCTAGATGCTGCTGCTGGAGGCTTGTTGGCGGCACCAGACGTCGGTGTCGGAGCCTTGTCAGCCGCATCAGCACCAGGCGTCACTGTCGGAGTCTTGTTGGCCGCATCAGCGCTAGATGCTGCTGCCGAAGTCTTGTCAGCGGCACCAGACGTCGGCGTCGGAGCGTTGTCAGCCGCATCAGCACCAGACGTCGGCGTCGGAGCCTTGTCAGCTGCTTCTGCACCAGGCGTCACTGACGGAGTCTTGTCAGCCGCATCAGCGCTAGATGCTGCTGCTGGAGGCTTGTTGGCGGCACCAGACGTCGGTGTCGGAGCCTTGTCAGCCGCATCAGCACCAGGCGTCACTGTCGGAGTCTTGTTGGCCGCATCAGCGCTAGATGCTGCTGCCGAAGTCTTGTCAGCGGCACCAGACGTCGGCGTCGGAGCGTTGTCAGCCGCATCAGCACCAGACGTCGGCGTCGGAGCCTTGTCAGCTGCTTCTGCACCAGGCGTCACTGACGGAGTCTTGTCAGCCGCATCAGCGCTAGATGCTGCTGCTGGAGGCTTGTTGGCGGCACCAGACGTCGGTGTCGGAGCCTTGTCAGCCGCATCAGCACCAGGCGTCACTGTCGGAGTCTTGTTGGCCGCATCAGCGCTAGATGCTGCTGCCGAAGTCTTGTCAGCGGCACCAGACGTCGGCGTCGGAGCGTTGTCAGCCGCATCAGCACCAGACGTCGGCGTCGGAGCCTTGTCAGCTGCTTCTGCACCAGGCGTCACTGACGGAGTCTTGTCAGCCGCATCAGCGCTAGATGCTGCTGCTGGAGGCTTGTTGGCGGCACCAGACGTCGGTGTCGGAGCCTTGTCAGCCGCATCAGCACCAGGCGTCACTGTCGGAGTCTTGTTGGCCGCATCAGCGCTAGATGCTGCTGCCGAAGTCTTGTCAGCGGCACCAGACGTCGGCGTCGGAGCGTTGTCAGCCGCATCAGCACCAGACGTCGGCGTCGGAGCCTTGTCAGCTGCTTCTGCACCAGGCGTCACTGACGGAGTCTTGTCAGCCGCATCAGCGCTAGATGCTGCTGCTGGAGGCTTGTTGGCGGCACCAGACGTCGGTGTCGGAGCCTTGTCAGCCGCATCAGCACCAGGCGTCACTGTCGGAGTCTTGTTGGCCGCATCAGCGCTAGATGCTGCTGCCGAAGTCTTGTCAGCGGCACCAGACGTCGGCGTCGGAGCGTTGTCAGCCGCATCAGCGCCAGACGTCGGCGTCGGAGCCTTGTCAGCTGCTTCTGCACCAGGCGTCACTGACGGAGTCTTGTCAGCGGCATCAGCGCTAGATGCTGCTGCTGGAGGCTGGTTTGACGAGCTAGCAGATCCTCCCTTCAGGGACCGGCCAGAGGAACCACCAGAAGATCCTGCCGCCTTCGGAGATCCCTTGTCGGAATCCCGCTTGTCGGCATCAACGCGACTCACAGCATCTTTATTGGAGGGCGTTTCCTCTCCTTCCCCTGCGGGAGACGTAGGACTAGAAACACCCAAAAACTGTCCAGTATTTGACGTTGGCGCAGCTTCTTTTCCTGAGTCTTCTTCAGTACTCTCCTCTATATTCGCAGGCGAATCCTGAGAACCCGTTTTTTCAAGCGCAGAGGAATCCTGAGAGCCTCCTGAACTTCCCCTGACCGGAGTCGGAGATCTGCGGAGTGACGGCATTGCATTCCAAACTGTGCTCGCCACTCTTCTAGGCCACGAAGGAGTGGGCGCTGCATCCGAGTTCGAACCTTCAGGTGCTCCATCAGTAGTTAGTTCGACAGCATCCGAGTTCGAACGCGGTGACGCTGGAGGCTTGCGAAGGCACTCGAAAGCCTCGTCGCCGCTTGAGAGAACATCTACCACTCCATCCTCAACACCTACTGATCGAGCATCCTCGGGAGTGGCTGCCTCTTCAGTCAATTCATCCCCATCACGGCGTTCACCAACGCTTCCTACCTCAGAGTCACACTCACCGGGAATAGCCGCAGCGGAGGCAGCACTGGTCGGCGCGACGTCGCTCCTAGAGGCTCTTTTCGCGTTCGCATCAATCCGAGGAAAGCCAGTCGTGGAGGAAAGCGCGACATCCTCCGAGACGCGGATAGGCACTTCCTGAACGCCAGCAGAGGAAGAGGAAGGTACGCCATCTTTCTTACCAGCAGCGGACGCAACATCAGCTGCTTTGTCGTCTTCTTTCCCCCCATGGGAAGAAGGTTTTGCGTCGATGACTGGCGTACTTACTACCGCGGATATTTCATCTTTTTCGCCGTTTTCTTCTGCTCTCGTCTTGTCACCAGTAGTAGCCTTTCCAGTAGATGACGACGAGGCACCATTATTTATAACTTGCTTGTCGTCGCGGTGACCCTCACCAGAAAATCCGACAAAGAGGACATTATCCTCTCTGTCTTCGACCTTCTCTTTTGCGGCCTCGACATTCGCTTCTTTGTCCTGAACAACATTTGCTTGCTTCTCCCTGACAGGACCAGAAAACGCACGCGAGGTTGCATTTTCGGTGGGCGGAGGATTTCCTGAACTCGCGGAGGCTGAAGCTGAAGCGCCCGTTGTAGGCAACATCGGAACGCGAAACTTTAGGTCATCTGCTCGCGGAGGAAGCTTTGGGACATCTGAAGATTCCGGGTTGTGCACCATGTAAGGGTCTTCAACTGCGGTCGCGTTTTTTCTACCGCTTCCAACAGAGGACGCCGACTTCACGTTTTCAACAGGTACGGCTCTATGTTCGAGAGTCTTACCACCATCCTTAGGAGTAGTTTCCTCAGAAGGGGCTCCACCTTGGACAACTTTCACACTCAAAACTGGCAGTACACAAGCGGCGGTGAATCCGACGGCCGCAGCGCGACGCACAAAACGGCCCATGATCTTCGTTCGTTTTTAGAAGGCTAACTAGCAAGAAAAATATGTAGCTAGTCAGGCTGACCACTAGAAAGGAGAAGTAAACAACAGACAAGTGAAGACTAACAATCAATGTGAATGTTCCTTACAAGAAGCTCTCAGATGATGAAGAGGAGGAGAACAATGAATAAGTAAAACGTTGACAAAGACAAACGAATCAGTTCAAATTCTGCAGCTCACTCAGCCGTACTAGACGAAATAAAGCAAGAGACGGATATCTCTTTTATCATGCCCTGAATTTTTTGAATAGTCGAGATATGAAGGAAGATTTTTACTGGTGCGGTCGCAGGAGTGTCGCGGGAGTTACTCCTACTTATATATACTACAGTATACTTTCCAGAACGACTGTCGTAACTCTCCTTGCAGGTGTATGATTTTGATTCGTGTGAATCTGTAACATTGCCAAACTACAGATTTCATTCGCACATGCGACATTCAATTCCCCTCCTACTAGTAGATCCTTGACCTTCACATTCAGAAGCGTGACTGGAACAGTAGGAGTTTTGAAGATGTCCTTCAGACTGTAGTAGACATTGATCCATCGTGATACCAATATCAATCCACCTTTTCTCTGTCATCTTTGGCATGACAGAAACTCTTTCGGAAAATCGACAAAGATGATCGTCAGCCTACCACTTAATCCAGACGCTAAAACTACTGCCATTATTCGCTCGATGACATAACGCTGGACGCCAACGAGGTTCAGAAGCCTCGCATCCACTTCAGCCTCGTATCCAGAACGCCGGATGAGTCCCATCCTGAAGATCTCTCATGCTCCCGACGACTCAACGAATTTTGAATTCAAATTGGGAAGCACCTCAGTTACTGGCTAATCATGTGATGTTCATGAAACTGCGGTATGAACCAGGAAGCACCTCAGTTTCTGGATAATCATGTGTCGCAAGTCCGACCGTATGACTATGTATGACCATATGTTGATCGTGCGGGGCTAGAAGTTTTTTCGTCCTCTCCAGATACAGCACGTGCAGTAATGGTTTCGAGTCTAAGTTCGAGTCTCATTGCAAGGACATGTGAAAGTCCGGTCCCCGTGTCGTGTCCTCAAGGAAAGAAAAGTCTATGATATTCCTCGAACCTGAGCGTGGTTGGCGCGAGGATATCCGCACTATCAGATGGAAATCGTAAGAAAACAGGTCAAAAACATTCCTCTACTCCTTGGCTAGATGAAAATGAATCACAGTCTAGTGACTGTAATCTTTTAGGTTCCAGCTTTCTATGCATCCCAGTCAAACAGTCTTATTCAAGTACTCAGGACCGTGCGCCGTAGGTGAGATTAAGTGCTAAACGTATTATACTTATAGATATAATTTCTAGAGGGTCAAAGATCTAGGAGAAAAGAGGACAACTATGATTGATCAATTTAGCTACACCTTATCTTCTACACCTGTACATTCTTATGAAGTTTTTCGTATTACGTGGAAATCTATTGTGAGTTTGTCTTCTACTACGTAGTGGGAAATATAAAGACAATTGCCGCAGACGCAGCCACTACTAGTGGGAAATGAAAATGAAATGCTAGTAACCCTTCAAGAACAATATGTGGACCTCATGTTCAGCGGTAGTGGACCTCACTTCTTTACGTGCTAGGAACCATGTGGACATTGTGGATTCCTCATGCTGACACACCACTCAAAAACCATATGTACAACAAGGGATGACGAAGACCATTTTCATGTTTGTGAGCCTCCATCGAGACAAGGATAGTCTATGAAGTCGTTGGATAGACTAGGAGTAGCATGACAGGACACTCGTTTACAACATTTCAAGATGAATCAACTTCCGTCGACGAGCAGCCTTCAAGGTCCATCAAACAACCAACTACATCTTCATGTAGAGGCAAGTTGTATTCGTCAAACTTCCGACATGACTGAGCTCGCAGCGCTATCTGAATAGCGTCTCGATGCCCTCACCGCTGCTTCCTGACTCTTGCGTCGTTCCAGTTCAGCTTTCTTGCTTTTCGATCGTTTCTTGCGCTTGCTTTTTGATCCTCGTCTGGAGGCTGAGCGCTTAGACCGCGTGCTGGCACGTATCAATGGTACCTCTTCACTAGATGTGGTCGTGGTACTACTGCTGTCAGCATGCTTGGTGCCAGATTGCTCTTCCGCAACATGATCCGACGAGGACCCGCCCATCGAACCCGCGTGAGGAGCTGTGGCAGAATACACGACGGTCGGCCCACGAATCCCGTCCGCCGACGTCTCCCACGGAGACGACTTGCTCGGTCCGCCACAAGGACGGAGCCACCAAATTAGCAATCCAGTGAGCGCAACAGCCCCTGCAGTGCCGAACACCAACAGGTAAAAAGCCCAATCCGGCATCCACTTGCTTTCTTCAGCACTAGAAGTGGGCCACTGCGGTGCCTGACCAGAGCCAGCTCCTCCTCCATCGACATCGAGTACTAGTACGTGGGTCGGAGATCCAGGATCTTGTAAAGCTTCAGCTTTCGACGGAGGTAGCGGAGGGCCTCCGGAAATAATAACAGCAAATCCGGAATTTGTTCCCACGTCAACATCCGTTCCACTCCCAGACGTATTTTTCCTGCCCATAGAATTCGCAGTACCTGAACTAAGACCAGCAGAAGGTCCACAAACATGTTCCTGAGAGTGTTCTAGTGAGTCTCTTCGAGGATGTCGCGAATCAGTTGTAGACCCATGTTCCTGAGTGTCCCGCTCAACGGAGTCCACGACAACGGCATGGCCAACACGAGTGTCATCCCCATCCCTACCTCCAGAGCCAAGTCCACTTCCACCGCCACCTCCATCTGCATCGCCTGTCGTACCGTTGCCACCAGCAGATTTACCTGCTGCTGTCGTAGAAGGAGCTCCTACATCCAAGGGTGGTGCATCGTCCCGTTGGTTCTCGCCGCCGGCAGAGCAAGTGTCCTCGCCACCACTGTTGATGTGGCCTTCTCCACGAACGTCCATGGTGCTGGCCCCTTCATCCATCTTCTTCTTCGAATTTTTCTTATCATCCTTTGTTGCGTCATCACAGCTGTGCCCATCGCCGTCACCTGCAGGATTGCGTGCTCCTCCGGCATCAATGCCCGCATTGGCAGCAGCTTCAGCACCAGCATCAACCTGACCACGACCCGGACTCTGCGTTGCACCTTGCACACCAGTCACCTGCTCACCTTCCGGTCCTGAGCCGCCGTTGTCATCTTTTTGTACACCACCACTATCTTCATTGTTTTCGAGAGCCGCACTTGGGGTCCCAGTCTGCTGCGCCAGTGCTGGAGTGCCTCCATTAGCAACATCAGTATTACCGTCTGTGGTTGCATCAGGGGCTGCCGGAAGCTTCGATCCACCATCGCCTCCAACACCATCGCCTCCTGCTGCACCTCCTCTCTGATCGCCTTGAGAACTGTTCGCTTGACCAGAAGCGTCCGCATCCGCACCTCCACGAGCAGCAGAAGACTCGGGTGCTCCCGCGTTCTTCGAATTCGTGTCTCCACCCTCTTGAGAACCTGCACCACCCTCCTGAGAGCCTACTCCACCCTCTTGAGAACCCTCTGGAGCACCACCACCATCTGGAGCACCGCCACCATCTCGAGCACCTGCTCCGCCATCTGCAGCACCACCCCCTTCTGGAGCACCACCCCCTTCTTGAGCACCACCCCCTTCTACAGCACCACCACCATCTTGAGCACCACCCCCTTCTACAGCACCACCACCATCTTGAGCACCACCACCATCTTGAGCACCACCACCATCTTGAGCACCACCACCATCTGGAGCACCACCCCCTTCTACAGCACCACCACCATCTGGAGCACCTGCTCCGCCATCTGGAGTAGCACCACCCTCTTCTACAGCACCACCACCATCTGGAGCACCTGCTCCGCCATCTGGAGCACCTGCTCTGCCATCTGGCGTACCTGCACCACTTTGCGACGCTCCAGCACCAATTGGAGCATCTCCAGCATCTCCATTTCCCGCACCTTCGACTAGACGGTCTGGATCTGCAACTGATGGCTTTGGAGTCGCGTTAGACGCAGCGTTCGCACTCGGGTCTGCAACTGATGGCTTGGGAGTCGGGTTAGACGCAGCGTTCGCACTCGGGTCTGCAACTGATGGCTTTGGAGTCGCGTTAGACGCAGCGTTCGCACTCGGGTCTGCAACTGATGGCTTGGGAGTCGGGTTAGACGCAGCGTTCGCACTCGGGTCTGCAACTGATGGCTTTGGAGTCGCGTTAGACGCAGCGTTCGCACTCGGGTCTGCAACTGATGGCTTGGGAGTCGGGTTAGACGCGGCGTTCGCACTCGGGTCTGCACCAGATGAAACCGGACCACCTTCTGCGGTCGCAGTGGCAGTACCAGCAGCGCCAGTAGCAGTGGACGGCGTAGCTGGATTTCCAACAGGAGCTTCGGCGGCACCATCATTCTCGTCATGTGCTGCAGCCTGCACGGGGCCAGCATCTGCAGAAGCCGCAGTGGTACCTCGACCCCGGATTCTGTTCATGAGAAAACCAAGTATCTGACCCGCCGCATCCACCTCAGTTGAGAGAAGAACGCCAGTAACGACGCACGCTACAGCCGTGGAGCGGAGTCGCGGCATCTTCGCACCTCGAAAACGACGTGGCCGCATCTGGATTGTTGATGCTTGTTGCTGGTGGTCTGCTCACACAATTTATTACTCTTAGACTGCTTGTTGTTAAGGTACTGCTACTTCTTTTTTCACTTCTCTGTTCTTTCGAGCGAGAACGTCTTAGTCAAAAATGAAACACTCAAAATGTTGAACGAACGATCAGTTCGCTGTCTCTGTGAGAGCGACAAGCTTGTCTTCGTATATACATGTTTTTCGTGTCGCCCGTTGGTTGTTTCATAGAAGAAAGTGGAGAGGGAAATGAAGACTTTACCAAATGATCGGCTGAAGTAAGTAGCATAATGAACTTCCGAAGAAGAATGTTCTCTCGCAAGAACATGATAGTTCTCTCACGCTGCGCTGTCACTCTGTAATCTCGCACCATCGACGTCCCCCGCACAATCTATCCGCTCTTTTGACCGATATTGCTGCCTACCTGAACCTGATCATAATTTTACCAATTCATAGCATATACCAGCTTTGATCCTGAAAACAACCTCCCGGATCTTGAATTCATGCGACGTCCAAGGATCTCGATTTCCTTCAAAGAGACGTCATCCAGTACCACAATCTGCAGAAGCCATCGTACAACACCATTTCTATTCCACATGGCGTTCGTCGAGCCACTTTCTTAGGCTCAACCTACTACTTATCAAATTTGAAGCACGATCGGTCTGTACTGAGAAATTTCTGTGCATTTACTGTGAGACGTGGCGCTATTCCAATTCCTTGTCCTAGTATTGATCATTCTGTTCATTTTGTTCTCACGACTTTTACGATGAAGAAATATCACCGTGCACAGCAGTTGTCTAAGTCTTTCTTAATATACGATCATCATGCTTGTTTTCCTAGAATTAGATTCTGTGCCAATACCTGTACAACCCTCTCTATCTTTCATTCCCCTATAATAGTGAATCTTCGTAATCCCTATACCTGTTCTTGCTAGATAATAAGATCTTCAGATACTTGCGATAGATACATAATATTTCATTTTTTCTGCTCAGCTGTCATAGTTCAAATATTCAAATTCATTCTTAGCTTATTGTTCTTATCATGAAATTGCTATTCTATAAAATTGAGGTGAGTAAATAAGATGTGGTAAACTTGTATTTAGCGCGTCCGTAATCGTGGTAAGAGATGATTTTTACATTCAAAATCGATCGTTTTAGTGTCAGCTTTTCTTGAAGATCTACTCATGCTCAGAAGTCTATGAGATCATACAATACAATTCTATCAGCTAGCTGTCGTCTATTTTTGTCGGAAGTAGCAGTAGGTACCTGGTGTCGTGTATCATTTCAAGTCTAGTAACAGTAGTTTGTCAAATCAAAATGTAGTCAGTGTTCTTGGTACAACTGTCGACGTGTCCCAACATGTTCTTGATGTCACATAACAGCGACACAAAAGTTCTGCGCGTAGTACGTGGGGCCCCTTCCTATTGCTGTCGTTCGCAGCTCTGTATTATTCGAAAGGGAACCCCATTTCGGATTAAATGTCAAGTTCTGCGTCTCACCCAAGGCCGTACGAAAGTGTCTGTTGTCACAAAACTTCTAAGATTCAATGCTCATAAGATTCAACGATACGAGTTCTGAATTCTATTGCGGTGGTAGTACCTCCAAACGAAGAAAAGGTCATATTCACTTATCACTAAACATTTGCACTATAGGAATCCATCCTTGCTCACAGGAGGCCATCGTCCCTCTAGAAGACAGTCTCCCAACTGTACTAGTCGTACTAGTCTTTCCTATTTAATACTAACTAACTTCCCATGTGGTCATTTCAAGAAGTTGTCTGTGTACTCTATCCCATGTGGTCAGTTTCAAGAAGTTGTCTCTAAGAAGTTGTCTGTGTACTTACTCTAACTTCACTCCTAACTAACTTCCCACTTCACGTCAGTTTATCGGTTCAAGTACATGTCGTGATAGGAGACCTTTAGTTTGTGCGTGAAGTCGATAACCGGTACTTTCTGCAAGTCGCAATCCGGCAAGCAGAACAAGATACACCGCTGAACGTCCTCGGGATCGAAGACGTATCTGGTCGTAGTTTTTCATGGTGAGGTTGTTGCACGGGATCTAGACACTAGAGGTAAAAACGAACCGACTGTTTTATTTAGTGCTTTGAGCGCCGCTGGACCTAAACCTCGACCCTATATAAAGGGAAGAAGCCAATCAAGATTTGCAGCACAGCTCATTAAAATGGGGATAAGCCTAGATTTCTTGGTGAGGTTTTTTATAGAATGATGTTAAAAAAAGTGAGATATAAATCATGTTGCTGCCACATCATCTTGTAAGTGAAGAAAAGGAAAAGATATACAGAGCTAAACCTAAAGCGAAAGCGTAAGTTTATGAAAATCATAGTATATTGTTGTAAGGGCTAAACTCTAGAAGAGGTAAAAACTAATATAGTACCCGAAGGAACTCATAGTAAGTATTTATGAAAATCATATCAACCGAGTTTCATGAATCCGAGTTTCTATGTAGTACTCATAGTAAGTACTATTTATGAAGCTCATATACTAAATAGTACCCGAGTTTCAAGAATCCGAGACGGATCTGATCCCAGGTCTTGTGTGGCGCTTGGGACATTTCGGTCCATTCTGCTAGCAATCTCTTTCGCATATCTGCTCGTGTAAAAAAGATGTCGCCAATCGTCCTTACGGCGCGGCGCACCTTCTCCGTCTCTGCACGTTCGACCGTTCTCTGCGCAGCGACGTCCGCATACGAAGCCAGCTCGCCAGCGTTGATCTCCAACTCCGGTTTCTATCAGTTGTTTGCAGTGTTGATGTGAGGATTGAATGACCTACATTAGATAATTCCGGCTTCTATTATAGTTGTTTGCAGTGTTGTCGGGATTGAAGGATCTACATTAGATAATTCCGGTTTCTATTAGTTGGATGGACAGTGTCGTTCTGTCCGCGGAACCTCAGACAAAAAAGAATTGCATTCCTCTAGAACAACAGATGACATTTTTTCACTTCTGCAACAACGATCCGGAGCGGCTTCGACAGAGAAGAGACGGGAAGCGACATTTTTTGAGTTTTTGTGTCCTATGTGGTGTGTACATCAAATATTTGTTTTCAAGGAGGAGAGACAACAGTATCTTCAGTCAAAACGCAGAGTACTAATATCTTCAGTATAACGCAGAGTTCTAACATAAGGTTTCATCAGATATCAAAACAAGTAGTCTGGGGATTACCGCCATAAGATTCCCTCCGTGGAAGTCGGGGTCCAAAACTTTATCGCAGAATTGTTGATAATCGATCTGTCCTGTTCCCTGTTCATCAAAGTGCTTCATCACGCATAGCGTTTCCTCTGGCGATAGCTGTTGTAAATTTTTCAGGAGAATGATTGGGACAAAGAACTAACCTTATCCAATCAAACCATCAACAATCTACGGATCCTAGGAAGGGATCCAACTGGAGCTCTTGAAATAAGCATGCAAACCTTAGAATATCAAGATGAAATGCCATAAAATTACAAAGATGAAAAATAAGATTGTAGTACGATGAATCCAAACTTCTGAAGCGCACGCTCCATCTCATGATAGCACAGTACGCCGTTGCGATCGGCGTCGAAACGTCGGAAGACATCGCGGACCTGAGGTCAGGAATTTGTAGGATACGATAGGATATGAAAAGAATGGATAGGACAATATAGGACAAGATGCGTCGACCTCGCCGTCACGATAGCAAAAAGGAAAGTCATCCCAACCGAGTGAATGAATAGGGTCTACCTAAAGCTATTTTTGAAGTACCTGTGGGAACTGGTTTGTCATTTGCTCGCGAAGCTGTCGCAGGACGCTGTTGAGATTTACGTTGCTGCGGTAAATTTCTTCTCCGTTCTCCAGCGACTTGAAATAGTTTCGCGTGTATTCGTCCATATCCAACATAAGGAATTGATGCGACATCACCTGTAGTTGGACTAGGTTTCATTCAACATCAGGAATTGGTGCGACATCACCTCTTCGAAAAAAAAAATCGTCAACGTATGGGTCAACATTCAGATGAGCAACTTCATTTGCCGAAAAAGTTGCTTCTATCATAAAGCTGATAGACACTACATAACAGACAATCTTCTCAATCAACATAAGTATACAGATTAGAAGTGTCAACAATCAATAAAGTTAATAAGTAGTGAAAGATGATCTTCTGAAATTATACAGATTCTCAATCAAAAAGTAGTAAATGCAAGGTTCAAGGTTCAGTAGTAAATGCATCTCTATCAATATCATCAAGAAATGAAGCACCTTCATTTCCTTTCCCGGTAGGAAGTCGTCTGGACGGAAGAGTTTGCCGGTTAATTGGTTCAAATGCACTGCTTTCTCCAAGAATCGACCAGTAACAATACCGAGGTTGCGCTGCGGTGGCTCGTGGATCTGCTTGGTTTAGAGGAGCTGAGCTAGACGAAATGATGATATACCCGACCTTTTGATGGACGTCTGCATATGTGAGGACGTCTGTATTTTTGTAGAGCATCTTCGTGCGCCTGTCGTTTCTTCCACAATGAACAGGAAGACCAAGATTCTGTTGGGGAAAGGACCACAATGGAGGATGCTTTTTAGGATAGGATAGGATAGGAGCTGCGACTCGCCTCAAGGAGGTGAGCATTGATTCACGACTATGAAAACGCCGGGAAAGAATCTACCTCTGTCACAAGTAGCCTTAAATTGTATCATCGAAGAGGTTGTAGGTCATCAAGAACCGTCGCATGGTGTCTTCCTCGTTCACCTCGCCGCTAAATTTGGCAGAGAACCGGAGAGTCTTGCCTTCATTGAAGAAGAGCTTGGCCAGATCCTTTCGCGGCTTCTTCGGGATCAAAGAAATAACACTTGCCATACTATCGTCCCAGCTACCGTAGCCAGTGTATCTGCAGTTGGATGAAATTGAAAGCAAAAAGTAATTTTCCTACTACTCCGCGGTCTTCAGTGTCCATCATCTCAGGCGACGAACCAAAATTATGGCTACTCAAGTCTAAACTACCTACAAATACAGCAACCAATCACAAAAACAAAAAACTACAAGGATCTCACCATCTTCAAACAACTTCTAAGTCCAACGATCTGCAAATGAGATCAGTACGGTGGCGTCACAGCACGCGGCACATCCTTCTCCGGAAGCCTGACGTCGATCTTTTCGGCCAAATTTAGAGTGGGCTTGGATTCATCTTGACCCCTTCATCCCGGTACCTTATGCCTTGTATTCGTCTATGGGAACTACAAAAGGAGGCTAAGTACCAAAGAGATCGTGAGAATTCTTCTATTAGAACTACAAAAGGATACTACCAAAGTAAAAGATGGATAAGAGCCAAAGCAAAAGAAAAGATACTGCCAAAGTAAAATATCACGCTGAAAAAGTAAAACAAAGATGGATAAACGGGAACCATAACAAAGGTTGTGGCATATCCTTTGCGAAGTATTCTCTGGTGAAGCCATCCGCATCGTAGAGGAAGAAGCTCATATTATACATTTCCAACCGCTGACCGATTGAAAAATCGGCAATATTTACGTACTCGTCGTCTTGGTATCTGTGCGAGCGGAGCAAAGAATTGTGAGTAACTGTAAGTGAAGACACTAGGACTCGAGAAAGAATGTTCAATCATGTTTAGACACTACTAATGCAATACGAGCACTTTCTCTAGTGGTGTAAGTAAACCAAGTAACGACCACTGTCCCTTGTGGTCTAAGTAACGACCACTTTCTCTACAGTGAAAAGTAGAATGTTTAACAAAAACGGCGTAGTTTTCGACTATCAATAAAACATTGTTGCATCCCATGATAATTACAATGGGACAACCTCCGTATAAATGAATCAACGTACAGCCGTACTAACCCTGTATTTGAAGTAAATGTACAGAAAAGAAAACAGTACGCAGAGTCCATGGGTCCGCGAAGGGACATCTTTCCTTTGGGCATTCGCATACGCTTGCAGAGGATCGGGAACCCGTCGCGACCTATTATTTTGTAAGGAAGTGATACTCTCACTCTTGTTCTACTATCGATGTTTAATCTCTCTATGTCTTCAACCAAATAGAGTAGGCGTAAATAAAAATGATCTTAAGTCGTCCTAGTGGCCCATTCTTAAGTGGTCGTAAGTACCAGAGTTGAGCGGGTATTGCTCCCTGATCTGGATGGTATCGTCTGCCAGAAAATACATGATGATAAACGGACGCCGTTCGTATTGGGGTGTGAGTAGGTCATCCACAATCGCATAGAAGCGGCAGACTTTCCTATCCTTCTCCATGAACTGTTGCATATTCTTGTTGATCTGATGAAGGGACGGATTTGAGTTATTAATTTTAGTTTATTTGGTGCATTGGGGAAGTTTGAGTTGATGATGATGATATACCCAGTAAACTATGTGTCTACGGGTGTGCAAGTTATCAATTCTAGTTTATTTATTTGGTGCATTGGGGAAGTTTGAGTTGATGATGATGATATACCCAGTAAACTATGTGTCTACGGGTGTGCAAGTTATCAATTCTAGTTTATTTATTTGGTGCATTGGGGAAGAAGTTCTCGTTAATCTGGAGAGCAGATTCATTTCAGTTTACTACATATTCTTGTTGCTCCGAAGAGATGGATTTGAGTCATCTGGAGAAGTCATCTTTTATTGGGGAAGTTCTCATAATGCTGGGGAAGTTCTCATCTTTTATTGGGGAAGCCTGAGGAGAGTTCATGCTGGCAAAATAAACTCAAGAATAGTACGTGCCCGCCGTTGAGCATGTTCTCGTAGTAGAGCTTCTCGTTCGTTCTTTCCGGCTTTTTCGGGACGACATTTTTCTTGGCGAGAGTCTCTGCGAATGCGTCGGCTTCTGCTGCTCCCATATCAGCTGCTCCCATATTCTGTGCCATGCCCAAACGCTCGTAATACTCCCTGCAATAAAATAGAGCCATTTTGAATATTATTGATTCTCAACAATAGGCGACTTAAAGTAGTACCTTTATCCTGTGATGTCCAAGTCATGACCTGCATCAAATCCAAATCATGTCCAGATGATCAAGTAAATCTCCCGCAGTTGTACATCAACATTCAGATAAGTCAAAAGTAGTTGTACTCTGTGAACAACTTGTCGCAATTTTTGTATAAGTATTCAATAGTTAGTACTCTGTGAACTTATCGCAGTTGTATATTCGGACTTTGCGTCCGAGGAAGGAGAAATCTTCGCCAATACGGAAGTCCGCTGGAGACACGTAGCCACTGCCATCTGCTTTCATCAACTTCCCTCGCTTCAACATGTTGGAGGATAGACCTGGAGGATTTAGGAAAGAAATGCATTATCTATATTCTCAGACAGAAATAATATCAACATGATTTCTTGTCAGAGTTGATGTGAAGACGTAATAGGAACGTCACGTTGCTATACTACTACAAAGGCAAGTACTACAGGAGCTATCAACAGAACTGAAGTAAAACAGCCAGCTATTTAAGTACTTGAAATAAGCACAGTTAAGCCTGAACAAGGAAGAGTAGCCCTGTCAAAGCTACCTACCTCCCTTATTTCAGTCACTTACTCGGTTATTTTCAGTTTTAGAGTACAAAATAGCTGGCTATACAAAATTCAAAAATACCCTTATCTCCCTGTCCTCCCAAAGCGGAGAAAACGCCGCATCCACTATTATCGGGTTCTGGCATAGAGATCTGCACTGTATCATCTTCCAAATAGTACAAGAATTTGTACTTCTTTACGCGATAGTTCTCCAAGTTCGTCTCAGCTGGTGGTGATTGAGGATAGCGACTGTTTGAAGGGAATAGAGTCGAAGGAAAATTTAAACCGGTAAATTTTCTTTATGTGCTGCTTCGTAGATAGAAGATCTTTCTCTGTGTTCTTGGTTTGTCATGTGCGTGTCGCTGTCATGATTCAACCTCGTCATCTATTAATGTTTTTGGTTCGGGAAAGATTCCACTTAGCTACTTCTTGATCGTGAATAGTATCTATTGTTCTCATAATACCAATCTCCTCTTTGCCGTAGCCGTAGAATCGTAACACGTGCTTGTCAAGGACTTCCCATGCGGGGAGTTCGACCGAGTCTGCAAGGGGAACGCCATTTCCTGCGAAGACGTCTCTTGTCGTGGAGGAGGGAAGAGACCCCTGTCGGTACACCGATGTCGATCGGGGTGCTTTGCAGAAGCGAGAGCGGCTCTCGGTTTTCCTGAATTGAGTGGGTGGGTGGGTGAATTAGTTAGTGGAGTGCATGAGTGAGTAAGTAACTGAAAGGACGAGCAAAATGCGAAATGAAAATCAATGTTGAAAATGCAGGTACTTAGAATCAGCACCAGAACAAAGCCCATGGTTAATATAAGTACTCTGCTCTTGGTCGCTCCACCCGACATCCTCCGATGATGGACCACGTATTTTGTCTCGGGAAATGCCTCTTGGACAGACGGTCAGTGATCTGTGTCCCCGGAAGGTTTGGAATCGCGTTCACGTTGAGCTTCGGCAGCCTAGTCGTGGCTCCCGCCAGCGACGGCGTCGACGCCGACTTCGCTAGCGTGGAATCCATGGTCAAATTTTGTATCCCACAAACAAGAAATCTTAATCTAGACCTCACAATTGATCAATTGATATCCACTAAACGAACCTGCTAAGAAGTTGTTGCAGTGTGGGACGATAGGATGAACAAGATGTACAATGAATTTTCCATATTTATATATCAAGAAAGTTAGAAAGAAGACTACATAGGAGTTAGTGATACGGTCGATCGGGGACGACAAAGATGCTTTCGGAAGGAGGTCAAAGGAGGGTCTTGTGGGAAGAAAATTATGGCTTTCTCTCTCAAACGAATTCATTGCGACCATGACGAAACAACAACCGCTCGACCGAAGTCACTCCCTCTCTCTCTCTCTCTTCCTCTAATCTCTTCTTCGCTTGTATTTCCACGAAGCATCCTATGATTTCATGTTTTTTGCATTTGCAATCGTCAGATACTCGGATTCACTCAAAACGAAGGTTGTGCTTTTCTTCCTCGCTATTGCGGTCTTGCCACAAAACAAGCACGTGTAACTAGACAACTGGTGTCCTCTTCTTTTAAACACGCGGTTTTGCTTAGCACGCGACCGTCAAACGATCAAATATCAAGACACAAATTGCGATACGTCTGCGATACGTCTATCACTGTGTGAGGTCACATCAATTGCGATTTGTCTGTCACTGTGTGGGTAACACATCATGTTTTCAAGGCGTAAAAAGGTTGGGTACATCTTCGTTCAAGGCGTAAGAGGATTTTTTGCACGTTCTTGGGTAAGTAGTGATCATCTTTGTGTCAGCATAAGGAACAGCGCCACAACTGACGACACGACAAGGTGAAAAAGAACAAGGTAACCCCATCTCCCTGCAACCGTACAATCCCCTTTTCCCACAACTGTACGTACCCCATGACTGGGTAGATTATTAAGTTATTATCATCAGCACGACCACTAGAACGACTACTCATCAGCAGGACGACCACTGCTATTGCTATCAGCCATGACATTGCTGTCTGCTGTCTCCTCTTTACAAGCCTCCTCTTGCTTCGCAGCAATGTCTGCATCATCGGCCAATACATTTTCGTCGCTGCTGTCGTAGTTACTCTCCACGTTGTCCACCGCGTCATCTCCTTCCTCCTCATCACCTTGCTCTTGCGGCTCTTTGAAGAGCCGAAAATCGCCACGAAAACGCGTCTTGACGTCCTCCAGGAGCGAAAAGCCCAAGAAAGTCGGAGTAATTTCCACGACTACGAGGAAATCAGGCTCGCTCACATCGACACGCATCGACGATGGCATGTGTTTCTTCAACAGGTCCAGGCAATCTTCTTTGCTCAGCTTATTGCAATGGTGTCTGCGGAAATCGAGAGACCATGTCTTGTTCTGCCACACCGAAGACGTAGTTGCTGCAGCAGAAACTGCACCAGACGCAGAGGAGGACTCCTTGTTTTCTGGTCCCGTGCTTCCTTCAACTGCCGCAATAGAAGAACTGCTCCTTGCTTCCTTGTTTTCTTCACCTGCCGCACGAGAAGATGAGCCGCTCTTCGCTTGTTCCTCATTCTGAGTTTTTTGTACAGCTGCTTCGTCCTTCTTGCCTCCATATGCCTCTTTTATTTCGTCCGACCCAAACGTTTCGGGTAAGACCTTGCGCAAGAGGTCTTCAAAATTGCTTAAGTGGGGTGTACAGACGTGGTCTATCGGAGTCATGCGGATGACATACTTACTACCTTCCGTAGTTGCCGAAAAGATCACTTCCGCAACAGTCGAAGGCCGATTCCAAGGGAGACGGCGAATCCTGTGCTTCCTCGCTGCCTCTCTCCGCTTCTGCAGGATGTGTGGAGGGAGATGCTCTTGCTCCTCTGCCTCTGCGGCTGCTGCGTTATTTTGTGGGACTTTAACATCAACAGAAGACTCACCAACTACTTTTTCAGGAGCCTTAGTACTTCCATCAGGTCTGCTTTCATCACCACCAGATGTTGAGCAGGCGCTAGTAACTTGCTGAGCAGCATTGCTAGTAGATGCAGCAGCAGCAGCTGCTGCGGCTGCTAGCTGTTCACGTTGTTCCTGCAACTCTGTTCGCTGCTCTCGTGGAACATCGTACTCCGGAGCGTGGAGAAAAGCAACCCCTTTTGCAATGGTGTCGAAATTCATCTGAAAGCGCCATCCTTTCGTCTGTTGTTTCTTTCGATGCACCTTGATCTCGTCCACCTCGGCTGCTAGTTCCGCCGCCAAGTCTCCCGAGAGACCGCCACCAAAGGAATCATCTCCCCTACAGTCGCCATCGTCGCCGCTACCTCTTTGTCGCTTTGCTGCCGGTGATGAAGAGGAGCCGTCGTCTTCATCTTGTACTCGCTTTCTCGTTGTACAAGTGTTCCCGTTAAACATGCTATCAGTTTGCGCATTGAGCATATCCAAGGCCTCGCCAGCTGCTTTTGCCAGCATGGAGGGCTGCGTGGCTGTTATCAGGACGCCCGGCGTCATCACACGGGCGTGCTGCGCCTGCTTACGGCCCTTGCCCTTCCCCTTGCCTTTCTTGTTGCGACCACCTCCCATCTTTTGCTATTGCGTCTTCTAAGTGGAACTGAAGGGAACAAATCTAAATCGCTATTGCGTGGTCTAAGCGGAACTGAAGGGAACAAATCTAAATCAACTATTTAATATGAGACGTACTTCTACCAGTCAGTCTACGCATTTCCAATGAATCAGAAAGATGAAATCAAACTGGACAATTAAGTTTGGTGAGTTTGGTAACATCAAAGGAAGTATTTAGCACAGGAACGAGGTTGTCAGTTAAATGCAAGACACTGGCAGTGCAGAAGCTAATCGAATACTTTGACGTAGTCTCCAAAGCTCAGATCTGCTGGTGGAGACTGGGTTTGGCATTAGTATTGGAGAACGCCAGATATAATTTTAGATCTTGGCTGCATGATTGACGTATCCATATGGGTCGTGTCCATTTATGATCATAATCAGATCTCGAAGATGAAAAATTGGATCTCCGATCCAGATCGTCCCTCACTAAAAGTGTTCAGGAACAAAAATCAAGAATATTCTGAGCATCGTCCTTTCAACAAAGCCCTAACCTACCACAGCTACAGGTTTTTCACACGATTCAACACTTATTTCCTGGTGGCTTTGGGCTCCGCGCGACCCATTGCGCGACGCACAGCAATAACCTACTTAGAAGGGAGCAAGCAGCCTTAGTTGCGAGGGAGCAGCCTTATAAGGAAAGCAGAGCGCTCTGATTACATTCATGTGGAATAGAGTCACTCGAATGGTCGATTCTGGTGAAATGGGAAAGGGAATAAAATCGCGAAAGAGGAGCGGTTTAATCAACAGATGCGAGTCTCCTGTGTTGACACTTTATGTACTCGGGGATAAGTCAGTAGATGAGAGGAATGATAGGACGAGGGAAATTAGCGTTAACCGACTGAGAGATAAAAAATCATTCACATTGATTTTTCATGCTAGCTAGAATTTCTTCTCATACTCACCAATTTTCTTTTCTCGGGTTCTACACGCCGGATCCTTCCTCTTCCTCATTCGTCATTGCCAACGCGGCTGCACCCGACTGCGCTTCTACAGCAAGGCCCTGAATTTTCTTCGCAGCTTTCTTCTCGGTTCTTAGGTGTTCGAGAATCATCAGAAAACGCTTTGCTATTGCCTTGTCGAGAGCTGGCCGCAGCGATGGGTACTGCTTCAGACCAACTTGAGAGAAGCGGCTTTTCTTTCCTACTGCCGAAAACCATATCTGAAGTTTCGGCATTTCTCTCTCGAGGCCTTTCATTCTCGTCATAGCGTAGTTGATTCCAATGGGCAGCTGATACTTCTGGCCGTGACAGTGGAGGATGTTGCCAATGTTAAGTTGCTTGGTTGGTGGCCTGTGAATTAGAAGCAAATTGTGACCGCCGCTTGAAGCGCATCTCGAACATCAAGCGCATCTTGGAACTACGATCTTTTAAGTGTAGCCTTCTTCCGAGATGGCTCTGAAGTAGACGCTCTTTCAAGAAGTAGAGGATGGCCTTAAGTAGAGTACTTTGTGCTTTACGTGCAGGAGCCTCGAAGTCAAGACCTTGCTTCCATCCCCCCAAAACAGGGAGTACTTGTAGTACGATGGGGTCAACCGCAACCTCCTTGGCTTTTGTCTCTCAGAAACCGCACTGATGAATGCGGTGTGCCACCCCTTAGTCCCATCAACGTTTGGCCATTTCACACGCACGACAGTGCCTTCACGGTACTCGGCTCGCGTATCCACCGCTACTTTTTCGCATCGCTCAGGAAACACCATAATGCCAATTTGCGCTATTAGACCTAACTACGAAAAACTTACAGCCAATGCTAACATAGAAAAAGATGATACTCGTACATCACTCACATCAGAACAAGATTAGGATTAAGTTTAGAGACATTATAGGATTCGAACGAGAATTGGGAGACTGTAATTTCCAAAGAAACTCTGCGTCTATTTTAGACCCAGCCGAAAGCCCTTCCCCCTGTCATCCTGCTAATCCACGACTTTTTGTTTTTTAGACGGAGTGGAGTAAAGCCCGGACACCAATCAAAGCGGATGGGGCAACAGCACGTACTTGTCCTAACACGAAAATAAACCATAATTATTCACAAGAATGCGACAAGCACCTCGAAGTCAGTGATTCCTTGGATCTTGGATTGGGTTCACCGTGTCCAGAGCAACAGATCTTGGTACTACAACGTGATCATGCACCAGAAAAACTATGCACCACTTCTGGTGGTGGAGGACTTCTACACCTTACCTTCAATATTTTAGTGAGCAGTAGCAGAAAACCAACATTTCTCCACTATTATACATAGATACAACTATCTCCCTGGTCGTGGGGACCGGTCGTCATGCCCAGAACAGCGCGCTCAAATCCGAGGCTTTGTCTTCGATCATGGTCAAAAAATGAGGTCCACAAATTGTTCTGCTGGAGATTAATCTATTACAAGAACACGCTGTAAGAGGAGATACAGTTAAAAGCAGCTTTCGAAAACCACGCTACTTCTTTCGCATCCCCATCTTATTTCTTCTCTGCGAAGATGTTATTCTCAATGTGGATTCACCTCGTCTTTCCTCCTGTCGTTTTTCGTCCTGTAGTCCAGGATGAACTACTAGCGGATGCTCTTCTTCTTCTTCGCCGCGGTCCGTCGCCGAAACAAGAAAAACTGTTTCTTCTAGTGGATCTGCTATAAGATCTTCATTTTCAAGATTGGTCGGATGCACGATCGTGTGATCCCTGTTAGTATGGTCTTCATCATTCGTGGAAAATGGTATCAAAAGCGGTTTGATTTCCTCCACGTGATCGCGTAATAAAGCACTTGGTGGTGGTCTCACAAGAGTGTGAAGTAGCGCTTCAGAGGATGTGGAGGGCGTGAGCGGGTTCGAGGTCGTTTTGGGCATTGGCTCTGCTCGTGCGTAGGGATCGCTCGCTCCTGGTAAGCCGACGCGGCAGTCGCGGGCATCACTGGTGCCCTTGCAGGTCGTTGTCAGGGCACGACATATCATATTTTCTCTAGTTTTTAGTAAATAATCAACAGAGCCAGTAAATCATGTCAACGGTGTCCCTCACTCCCTTGTTCAAACACGATCGATTGGTTGTAGTGTTTTTTGCCTCAAGATATTCTTTTCTTAGATTTTGATTTTCTCTCTTTTGTTCTTAGATTTCTTTCATCATTCAGTCCGAGAAGAAACGTGATGAAGCTCCTCGAAGACATGCGGATAGCACGCTTTCTCGGTATGCTGCGGCAGAGGGATGAAACCCTATCTGCTACAACAGCGTGGACGCAAAATATTCTTCTTATAAAACGTGAAACATGATTTCTAAGGAACTTTGGATATGCAACAGAAGCAAAAATTGTTTTGGCTTTCATTTTCTGTATTTTCTAGGAAAAGTGCCTTGGGCCATTAGATGTGAAAATAAGTTGGTTCATTCAATGTGATGAAATTCAGTTGTGCGTGCCGATGCGTTGTACTACAGAATCGACCATCACGTTAAAGGATCTAGTGGGTGGAGGAGAGCTACAGGACGCTTGCGTCTACTATCATTTGAGTCTCCTGCTAGTGACCTTGAGGCCTACTCTGGGTTCCGGATGCAGTGGCAGTGGGCCTGACAGCTTGGAGTCGTCAGGGGAAATGCCAGCGTACATAGCGAAAACCGAATTCGTTGCTTCCCTAGCGCCGCGCCGCACCATATTGGCCGTACAAAAAGCATTTGGTTCCGTCGATTTCGCAATGGAGGTTTCGTGCACTGCCACTAAGATTTTCTTATTCTTTTTGAGAGCAGTACAGGGCGTCTTCTTCCGAGCAGAACTCGTCAGAGACACAGTGCTGTCCTTGTACTTGTTTCCCCTTTTCTTTAGCAGAGGACCACGCTTTCGTGCGAATTCGTGTTCGTATTCCACTAGTTTTCGCCACAGAGGGTGATTCTTCCGCAAAGCCTGCGCACTCGGGTGATGACTATTTCGACTTGCCAGTAGAGGTCGCAACATCTTCCACACGAATCTTCTGGCCTGTTCGTCGGAGATGCCCTGTTTTGCTTTTTTCAGCATAGCCCTGGCCCGCTGCTTTCCGTGCCTTCGCTCCATGCGTTCTTTCCTCCTGAGAGTCAATGGATCTTGCGCATTCCCAATCCCAGTGCCATCTTCACCAGATTTAGCGCCATCACCGTCATCCACCCTGAGAAGCATCCTGGTGCTTCTTTCTTCTGACGACGGACACAGCTTCAAGATGCTTCTGAAGATGGATCAACTCAAGGGAAGCCTTAAGAGATTCTAATACTCCCATGGTTGAACTTGACGCCGCGGCGCTCCCGTACAGAGTTCTCGAGGCAAGACCCGCAACACCTTTCAGTGCTCCCGAAGTATACGAGCGCGGACGAAAAGCCTCTCTGGGAATGTCAATGACGTAAGGCCGCGCTTCCGTAGCACGCTCTGGAGGTACGCGCATCTGTGCCCGAAGATCTTGCCATTTGGTAGAGGGACTCAGATGCAGTTGTCGAAATCGATTCAACAAAGATCCTATCGAGGACGAAGAGGATCCTACTTCTGGATTTGTTTCGTCCCGATCCGCAGAAACAAAATCTTCGTGGCTTCCGTCATGAGAACCACTACGACTAGTTCCAATAGTACCCTCCCCAGAGACCTCCTCCTCATCACTGCAATCTTCATCTTCTCCATCGTCATCTTCCACAACTTTGGTTGTGTCTGAATTCATCTTGTCAGCACCAGGGTCCTCGCCAGGCTGTGCAGAGTTCTTGCGCTTGCCGTCTTCCACGTTCTTCGCCTTATCAGTCATCATTATTGGTTTTTTACCCAGTTTACTGACGTCATCTTCACCAAAACCCACAGCGGCTTCGAAATCATAGATTTCGCGTACAGTGGCTCGTGTTCCTGCTGGTGCGCACCACACATCGCCTGCGAGCTTCGCAAGAATTCCAGTGTTAACCTTCTTCGCCTTGTAGTTTTTAGATAGGTTAGGTAGAAGGTTTCAGACAAGGCACTTAGAATTACACTTCTTTTATAGAGGATTTTTAACATCTTTGAAATATTTTTTCCGAGTACTTGAAAACTTGTCCTGTACCCAAGATAGAATGTTGATGCTCCAAACAAAGATGAGTCGACATTCATTCCCCTTAACCTTGAACTCCTCCTCGTCTTCTGTGCCATCCGTCACAACAGTCCCGGCATGTCCGTGCCGGACGCACACCTCGTCAGTGAGAAAAACCGTATGCTCCACAAGAGGATTGCGCATTAACCGTAGCATCTGATTCGCAAAGTGGTTGGCGAAAAAACGACGATCAACGTCGGATCTCAACTCCTGCAGGAGCTCGATATTAAAACCCGTCTTTCCGCCATGTGGATTGGCGTCTTCCAAGTTGAAATTTTCATGGGTGCGACGTAACACAATGCTAGTCCTGGCGTCTTGCAGCTTTCGCGTTGCTTCCGTTAAGCCCACATAGGCTAAAAGGTTCCTTTGGTACTCTTCTTAGAGCTGCTCGCCCAAATCCATATTAGGACTCATCTTGGACATGGAGCTGTTCTCCCGTTGTGGAACAATGAGTTCCAAGATGCTCATGGGGAGATGGATTGATTGATTGACGTCCCTACAGTGGTACTCTTTGACCACCAGCGGGACGGTACAGTTTCACAAATGTACCCCGAGGGGCGGCCGTGGAACTGCTAAGCCTAGTGAGGCGGATGGAAGGGAAACGATCAGGAACGATGGATTTGGGTAATGAGGGAGATGGATTTGGGTACTGAGGGAGATGGATTTGAATAAGGCCTTAATCTTCAATCGCGATGTTCACGTAGCGCACTAGCTCCAGCATATCGTTTCCGTGCGCGGGAAGACGACAATTCGACAAAATCCCAATGGTCGCCAAAATATACACTTGCTTCACGCACTTGGTTTGTACCAAGTGCTTCTGGTTGTTAAAGCGCTTCTGCTGTCCTTGGCTTGGTTCAGACCAGATAGGACTTGAATTTGTCTTGCCACTGTCAGAAGTTCTCATTCTTGAGGGATGCCATCCTTATGAGGCTTCCTTTTCAAGTAGAAAAAGGACTTCCTTGAGGCCATCCTTATGAGGCTTCCTTTTCAAGTAGAAAAAGAACCAAGGATCCTGGTCGTGCTAAGGACATGCTTGAGCGGTAGCCTTAAGCTTGGGAGTTTGCCCAGGCGATCTCTCAGCGCGCGTGTTTCGTATATACCTCTCATTGCGGTCTTCGTCCACTCGCAAATGGGCTCGCGTGGCACTTTGCAATTGCGACACCACGGAAGCTACCCTGTCGTCTTGTGGCTGCTCTGGAGTAGTGCGAGACACGAGCCCTCCTTGCTCCGGTCGCCGCCAGCCAGCCCCAAACGAATCTTGTTGTAGCTCATCCATTGGCGGATGAGTAAACTTCTCGTCAAAACCTGCTTTCTTGTTGCTGCCCGATTTTTCTGTGTTCCTATTCCTCTTTCGTGTTCGTCCGCTGGTGTCGGCAGTCTCCCTAGCAACCTTCTCCCTTGCAGCAGCTTCTCCCTCTACCGGATCCTCGCTGAAGGTGAGACTGAATCTGTGTGGTGTGACAATTTCAGCTTCAGTCTGGGGAATAAACGGCCGGCTCATTTGCGCCCGAGAGGAACCCTCTGGTAAGCAGTAATCGACGACGCTCCCACTCGCCCAAAGTGGAAACCTTAAGGTCTCCGAGAGACGCATAACTTCTTCGCCCACAGCGATCATCACGTCGTGTCGCTCGATAGTGCCACGTTAGAAGAGGAGGCGGAGACTGCAGTGACAGACATTATTAACATTAGTGTAAGAGTCGACTCACTACAGTGACAGACATTATTCACATTAGTGTAAAAGTCGATTCTAGGGTTTCAAAATCTCTCTCATGTTGAGCAGGAGGAGACGGTCTCGTGCTAATGATGGATCATTTTGTAGTCTACTTGCATCTGTACAGTAAGAATCTAAAAAACGAAGTCGAAATCCATTCAATCACGATCACATTGACATCCAAAATAATGAAAAAATGTACTTCATACAAAAACAAAACGTCACAAATAATAGGATCATAATTGTATCCCACTCTTCCTTGCAGCACGAACGCCCAGTGCTGAAGTTTGCTGGTCGTGTGGAGCAAGGTCAGAAGCTCTTTAGCATCTGCAAGTCGCCGGTCCTCTACTTCGCGACGCTGCACCTCGGTCTGTAACCAAGCGCCCAACAGCAGGCGGCTGTTGCGTCGATCTGCAACTGAAATTTTTTTGTTCTTCCAAAACGACATCAGCGTGTCGACGAAGCCAGTGGTTGTAGTCTTTTGATCAACACCGAAACTAGTTTTCTCCCTACCACCTAGTAGTCCTAATACTTGCTCCAACAAGCTTGCATCGATAGGCGGAGGTGGAATGGCAGAGGTATCACCGGATGTTGCAGCTGTCTCTTTACCTTTAGATGCTGCTTCTTTGGCCTTAGAATGTGACGCTTGCGCACTTCTTTTGTCTTTCCCAGAAGCTGCCTGTGAAGATGACGAGCCGGGTGCCTTTTTCGTCCTAGAATTTGCCTCATGCGCTCTCCTCTTCCAGTCCAATGCTTGTATCCTCAACATCTCGTTCAGTTGAGATTCTCGTTCTTCCAAAAAATGCAGGTTGTTCGCCCGCCACGTCCCCAAAACATCGGGGAGTAACAACTGGAAGAAAATCTTAGAGTTTGGATAAAGGGGTATGATGATGATGTTGGCCTATTGGATTTGACCTGCAGCAGAGCTTAAATACCTAAGTCCAACCTGCTCTTGAAGAGTCTAACTACTCTAACTAGTCGTAGTCTACGCATTCCCTGAAGAAGGCACAGGGTACTAGTATTGCAGCCTTGTAAATTTAAAGATTATAATTCCCTGAAGAAATAAATTTTTCTCCAGGTAGATCGAGGCTTAGTCTCTAAACCAAGTCTTAAAAAACTGAGTCCGCATCGCGTCACCGCGCAGAGCACTGCTTCCGGTAGCTGCAGAACGGGCCTGGAACATGGACTGCGGGATCGCCGATGGCGAATTCGGTATAGAATCCTTTGGAGCGCTCGCCAATGCATCTTGCATCAGTAGCGTAGATTCCGATTCCGGGAACTCATCCATCAAAGGCAGACCTGGCATCTTCGGGTTGATGCTCAGCGTCTTGATGCGCTTAGCGCGAAAAACTTCGATCACTTGGTCGAACAGCTGAGAGGTGGGGGTAGGAAGTTGCGAGGGGGATGCAGACGTTGAGGGACTACTTCTAGTACCTGTCGTCGTTACTTGAAAAGGTCCTGCTGCCGCGTCTGCACGCAGATCGACAGTGAAGCCATTCTGCGCCAAAAGCACTCGCATCCATGCCGCGTCGGCGGAGATGAACACACGCCGATAAGCTTCCGCGAACGCGTGATACGCATGCTCCTCAACTTCGGGTCTGGGTGTTGTACTAGAATCTACTTTCTCTCTATTGTCTTTCTCTCTCTTGAAGAGTTTCTTGGCGTCTTTGATCATGTTCCTCCTTGTCTGATCCGTAACCTCGACATTATCACGATCTCGAGTGTCGACAACAGTAGGAGAAGGCTCTTTTCCAGAGTCTGTGAAGAGTTGTAGAACCCTACTATTTATTCCAGCCTCTTCGCTACCTGTTCCTGTTCCAGCGTCCTCTAATAGAAGAAATTCACTCCTGCTCTCCTTGCGTACATGGGCAAGGTGCCGTCGAAAGGTAGCATAGGCAATTTCCGGATTCGAAAAATAGTTAAAGTTGCGTGCCATATCGTCGACCACATCGTGCCCGCGTCCCCACCAGTCTCGCCGTCCCTGCACTTTTCGTCTCAGCTTCGAGAGCTGCTTGTGAACGTCAGAGACACCACGCTGAAAGATGGCACGACGTTCTTCGCCAACAGCCAAGCCAGCGTCCTCAGCGGGTCGCGGTGAAGAGGTTTCTTGAGGGACTTGTTTTGGTCCGGACAAAGCGTTGCTGGGATTAGATTCCAATTTAAAATTGGAATCTTCGAAGTTGCGGAGTTGAAGAGAAGTTGCGGAGTTGACCTCAACCGAGTTCCCTGAACAGACGTTGCCAGCAACGCCATCAAAAAGCGATAGCGGAGTTCTTGTTCGACGCGGAGCATCTTCCGAAGATTCTAACTTGATGGCCTCAGACGGCTCTTTTGATGATGCCGTGGCTGACGCCTCAGCATCTTCTGCCGCATTGCTCCTAAGCGTCGCCGACGTATGATCCATAGCAAGCTTGTGGAGCGGGTGACGCAGATACCTGTCAGGCACACACGCATCCTTAAACAAAGCGTGTTTGTCTTTCAGTTTTTGTATCATGATGTTGTTCCCATCTTCCGACGAAGCAGCTGAAGGCGAAGCTGCTTCCATACGTGCAAAACTACATACGTCACGTGCAACAAGTTCATTCGCGTAAAGGGTTTGTACAATTCGCGCTTTGAAGATGGAATTCGCTGACACTCCACTTCTCACGGCAGCTGTCCACCACCCTATGTGCTTTTCGTACGCGCTACCTATCATGTCATCATCGTGACCTGCCTTTAGCAGAAGACCTTGAGCTTCCGAAGGCAGAAGGTGCCACTGGGGTTCACCAGTGTGTGGATTAGTGGGTAACGGTTGCCAAGCAAACTGAAAGCTGTTTGCCAGCAACCAAGGCTTGACCTCCGTGTTCAACAGCTTGGCCGCTGCGGCTAGAAGTTGCTGTTCGGCGGTGTGGAGCTGCTGCTGCAGTTTTTTTCGAGTCTGATGACGCCGCAAGATGTCTCGTTCTGGCGCTAGACCAGCACCCCCCGATGACTGTGAATGTAAGGCAGTGCTGTGAAGTTCATGCTGGTGGGCCCCAGAAACAGAAACCCACGGTGGATCTATGCTAAGATCAACGCCGTCTCGACCAACATAGTATGCCGATGCTTCGTTGGAGGCCGCATTCCGTTCAGATGGCAGCACTTCTACAGGAGGTCTCGCTGCCACACGCGACAACTCCTGCAGGGCCGTGCGGACGTCCAGCAGCGTCTGACAAAGTCGGCGCAGGCGTAAAGCGCTAGACGGAACCAGATCTGTTGTAGCTACCTCTGCCAAATTGGTCAGAGGTTTTGCATCCCCGCTCTCTCTCTCAGAAGTAGGTACTTCTGGAGGCACAAACACCAGTCCATGCTGTGCGTTAGCGGTGCGGCTCTGTGTCGTCAAACGCCTGAAAAGGTCGGGACTCCCGTCTTTTAAGCCCATATAGTCTGGCACTGCACTCCACTCCTGATCGGCACTCACAGTCGATGCAAAGTGGTAATCCGGATAGGCGTATGAAATAGGAAGAAAATTTTAATATTACCCAGCACTAAGGCAGTAATTCTTCTAGAGAGGCAAGCATGTCGCAGAATCTAGTAAGTGTAAGAGTATTATAAGTACTGCGTCCATAAATCCGTTACTCACATTGCGAAAAGGCTAGTAAGCAAGCAGCATCTTCTAGGAGTGAACTCAACGTAGAACTAAAAGATTTTTCTTGAAGTCATTATAGTATATCTAGTGTGTGTGTATAATGAGTAAGAGGCGAGCTAGACAACTTCTTATCTAGTGTCTTCTTGTCCTCACATAAGAAGTGGTCTAGCTCGCCTCGCAAAAATTTCTCCGTCAACTCCCTGTGGACGGAGACTGCTCTTGCTGCCCCCGCTGCAGGAGGATTTACGGAACTTACAAAATGACCATTCAGTGCGTTTCGCGACACGTGTGGTTGAGCCTTGTATTCGCGTGGAACCGGTGACGGAGACGGGGCTTCGAACTCTTCGTGCCCTCCGTGTGCATTTTTCAAAAAAACCTCCCTGCCAACGTGTCGAAGAAGCTTTTGTGTGTTTGTGATGAGCATTTCGTCGGATTTTTGCGACGCCGACGCATCTTCTTTCGATGATAGCCGAGATGAATGAGCTTCTTGATCACCCGCATTAAAACGTGCTTCTTTTTGTGTCCTCTTGCCATTGAGCCCAGCGGCAGCAGGCTGGTCCACCAATCCAGCTGAAAGGATTTCGGACAGTGAGACGAACCGGACAGCGGTCGGACTTGTCGCGGAAAAGGCACGGAAGTGTGCCGCGATCGTGCCAACAGGTATACAGCGTAACTTCATATTCACATCGATGCTAAGCGCGCTGTCGTCCTTCTGCTGATGATCAAAGCTTACATAGTATTGATCGATCTCTCTTACCCAAGCAATGCTCTGCGCCAGAAAGAAGCGCAGTATGCTGTAATGGCTGTACCGAATCATGTCCATGGTGAATTCAACGGACACAAAATACTCAGCGAGAATGGCCACTTGCTGTATGAAGGAGAAAAGTGAGTACCCTCATCATCATCATCATCATGGTGTCTCAAATGGTCACTCTCTACCATCGACAAGACATAGATCCCGAAGGATGACAAGAGGAAGCGCGCAGCCTAATGAATAGCTTCACACTCAAATTAGTCACACTCAGAAATTAGGAAAGTGCTCGTTTATATAAAACGCTCAAAAAAGGGCCTAAGTGTGAGTGTGAGTGGGTTTTTTTTCTTCATATGTTGGTACGGTGCAAGATAGTCGCTGAAAACGCCATCCCGGTCTAAAGCATCCCGCAATGTCGTCACCAGCAACACGGTCCGTTCTTTACTCAGCTTTCGAGGGCGCCAAATGCGTGCGGAGGAGCCTAGCATGACCGGCGGTCCTTCATCACAAACACGACTCACCTCCACGGGCCCATGTTGTACAATGCAATCCCTCTTATCTTCCCCATTCAACATGGATGACATACTAGAGAACGCGCCATCGTGGTCTACTTCATCTTCCTTGATGTTATCTTCTCCCGATAAATGGGCCGTCGTATCCCTCTGTTCATCACGCACTGCACTAGGATCCCGACGATTTTCATCTTCCGCAACAGCTGTCGTTGGTGAAGGAGCGCGCTCCTCCAGGACCGCGATGACATAGTCGGAAACACTCATCTTCGATGTAAAAGACCTCTTGGTACTGGGTGCTTTATGTTCTGTCCGTCTATGCATGCGCAAAGCGCGGGCTGCGATTTCGCGTAGTAACGTCTCGCGACTGCCCGTTGCAGCCGAGACCGAAGGACTGCAGACCGCGGTAATCAATTCTTGAACTAAAGATTGCACGCCACGACCAAGACCATGTGTTTGAGGAGGCTCCTGAGGCCGGTTCTCCGCATTTTCTTCTACTTCGGCACGACCATAAGGCATCTTCTCCTTTTCATCCACTTTTTCGCTTTTTCGATTATTCTTCGCGACCTGTAACACTTCTTTCAACAGGGCACGAGCCTCTTCGCGCGGTTTCGCAGCGTCGAAACTGACCAAATCTTCTGCGATCAAGTAATGCTCATCTCGTAGAGGACTCCAACCTGGAATGAGGCCCATCGCGATCGGCAAGAATCGGTACGCTACGGTCTCAAGCTTGACACGGTTGCGCTTGGCCCACAAATCTCTGAGAATAG